ACCTAGGGTTAGCAACAGCTCTGCGGGTGATAATCTGCATTCACTGCCCACATCTTTGTAAACACTCTGTCTTAGTCCATTCAGACTGATATAACAAAATACCATAGACCGGTGGCTTCTAAATACGAATTTATTTCTCATAGTTTTGGATGCTGGGAAGTCCGAGATCAATATGCCAGCAGATTTGGTGGCTGGTAAGGACCAGCTTCCTACTTCATAGAAGGTAGGAGCGGTTAATAAGCTTGCTGGGCCGCTTTTATAAAGGCACTAATCTCATTCCACCCTCCTCCCTCATAACCTAATCACCTCTCAAACGTCCCACCTCCTAATACTATTGCACAGGGGATTAGGTTTCGACATATGAATTTTGGAAGGATAGAAACATTCAGTTTATAGCATAATCCCTTTATTAAACGCTCCTCAAATTAGCCAATTTGGGTGTGCCACGCATTTCCTGCAGGAACCTGGCGGACCTCCCTTTGTACTCCCCACGCTGCTCTGTTCATTATGTTCACAGGAGGCTTTGTCGGCCCAGTGGGCCAGAACACAGGCTCTGGAGTCAGCCCCGAGTTTGAATTCTACCTCTCCTATTTACTAGCTGCAGTAGCAGACTCACATTACTTTACCTCCTTGTGCCTCCATGTTGGTCACCTGTAAAATGAGGACAACAGTCCCCACCTTGAAAGGTCATTATAAGGATGGAGTGATACAGTCCATGTAAAAAACCTAATGTAATGTGTGATACCTACAAACCGCCAGTAAGTGTTGATGACTTTTATTACATTGCTTTTTTTTTTTTTTTTTTTTGAGACAGAGTCTCACTCTGTCACCCAGGCTGGAGTGCAGTGGCACAATCTCGGCTCACTGCAAGCTCCGCCTCCCGGGTTCACGCCATTCTCCTGCCTCAGTCTCCTGAGTAGCTGGGACTACAGGTGCCCGCCGCCACACCCGGCTAATTTTTTTGTATTTTTAGTAGAGACGGGGTTTCACCGTGTTCGCCAGGATGGTCTCGATCTCCTGACCTCGTGATCTGCCCGCCTCGGCCTCCTAAAGTTCTGGGATTACAGGCGTGAGCCACCGTGCCTGGCCTATTACACTGCTTTTTAAAAATATACAACAATTATTAACTATATTCATCATGCTGCAGGTAGAGCTCCAGAACTTACTCATCCTAAGTGAAACTATTTTGATTATATTTCCCTTACTGTGTTGTGAACTCTTCTTTGTTCTTTTCCAGATTTTTCTCTCTATAAGTGGAGACCCAGAAGCTAAACCTGGATTAAAAGGACTCGTACCACAGGAATGGCACATAGGCCCCCATACCCCCTTGATGGTACTGGTTTCCATTGAGTCCACTTAAGGCCTCCAGTTCTCCACAAGAGCTCCCAAGTGCAGATGGGAGTCAGTACTTGAGATATGAACCTATATATCTTCTCTGGCTTAGGTCTGCAGGAAATGAGAAAGTTGTCAGTTGGTGGGAATAGTGTCTAGTGGTGGCAGCCTGGTGCAGCCGTCTCAGGAAGACTGGGTCTCAGCTGCCACAGGGGATTCAGGACAGGAGACCATACCTACTGCAGGTGACCCCCACAGGTGTGTGTGTGAGCACTGAGGGGTCAGGGTCAAGCAAGTGTTGCATCATCATCCCTAATTGTCTGCCCTGCCACCCACCATTCCAAGGGCATCAAGAGGACACCTGAGGGCTGCAAGGGTCTGAGAGTTCCTGGAAGAAATGCCAGATGCTTCTTTTTTATGACTCGCCTCGAGCTTCTCCTGTATCTGCGCCTCACTGTGGAAGGAGAGCTTGGGGTAGCCTTGACAGACCTGAGTTCTAAACCCGGCCCTGCCACATCCTAGCCATGTGCCTGTGGGTAAGCCATTTTCCCTCTTTGAGCCTCTGCTTCCTCGTTTGTAAAAACATGCCAAGAACAGTATCTATTTCACCAGCTGGCAGTGAGAATTAAATTATTCAACTCCACTGACTCCCTTAGTGCCCAGCACACAGTTTGCATGTAGCAGGTGGGCACTTTTAAGGAACATGGCCTGGGGAGGACCTATTGGGACTCTGGGGAAAGAAAGGAGGCCATGTCAGACATCTCTGTCTCCTTCTGAGCTCTGCACTTGGTTTTCCTGATGCCTGGTTTGTTCCCATTTATTCTTGTTAAGATTCTCCACCAGCATCCCACCCCCTTCACCGCCCTCTGGCCTGGCCAGCTTGAAGTTTTCTGGGAGAACAAAGGAGCTTCTCTGGTAGCAACCGGCCTAGGGCTCAAATCTGGCTTCTTCCTGGGGAGAAGAGGCCTGGAATATCTGGATTCCAAAAGGGTCTGGAATCTCTGCCTGGAGTAGGAGGGTTTCTATGTGTAGAGCAGAGGTTACCATGTCTGGGGGACTTTCCACCTTTATTTTACTTAGCCTGCACAGTGTTTTGGAAACATCTGAATTCATTGCTGAGATTTAGAAACCAGCAGCTTTCACCTGGCCCTGTGCCCACACTCCTGCCCTGGCAACAAGCAGCTGGAGCTGGGTGTCCACTGCCCCTGTAGTGGGAGCACAAGTTCTGTGGCTTGTCAGTTTCCACCTGGTTTCCTGGGTGCAGTTCCAGGGTTTCCAGCCTGGCCTTGTAGGCATGTGCCTCTGTGTCCTCAAGACAGAGGTGGCTGGACAAACTTTTGTGCATGTGTACGCAACTTCTAGGGTTCCCACCTCCCCGTTTAACCATCTACCAGGATCTGCATCCCCATGCCACAGATGTAACTCCAATTACTACAACTGAACCATCTCTGCTCCCCTCAAAAGCCAATCTCTTTACTGTAAACTAGATCCCTCCTGCTGTGGTTTGAATGTTTTTGTCCCCTCCAAAATGCATGTTTCGGGAACTTACAGTATCGGGACGAGAGACCTAAGAAGAGGTGTTTAGAATCTGGGCAGAGCCCTCATGAATGAATTAATGCCACTATTAAAAGTGCAAACTTGCAGTGAGCCGAGATTGCGCCATTGCACTCCAGCCTGGGCAACAGAGTGAGACTTCGTCTCAAAAAAAAGAAAAAGAAAAAGAAAAAAAAAGTGCTTGCTGGAGTGGGTTCCCTCTTCTCTCCTGCTCTTCTGCCATGAGAAGACAGAGCTAACTGTTCCTCCCCTCTGGAAGACATAGCATTCAAGGTGTCATCTTGGAAGCAGAGACATCATGATCCAAACTGTTGGTGCCTTAATCTCCACCTTACCTGCCTCCAGAACTGTGAGAATAAATTTCTCTTCTTTATAGATACTCCAGTCTGTGGAGTTATAGCAGCACAAAAGAGACTAAGACACCACCTCTCTTGACCACTCAAAGACACCATTCCAGCAATTTCCCACATCTCTTCTACATCATCACTTTTTCTCTCTACCAGGCCATGGTTATTTCTCCCATCTTAATAAAAACCTTCTCTTATCCCCACTTGCCCTACCAGGTACTGCTCTAGTTCTCTGTGATCTTCTGCAGCTAAATTCCTCTAAAGAGCTACACTCATTGTCTCCAAATCATCTTTCATTCACTCTTAAAACCACTCCAGTCAGGCTTTAACCCTGTCACTCACCCAAAACTGCTCTGGCAAGATCAGTAGTAACATGTTGCAAAATCCAAGGGCAAATTCTCAGGCTCACCTTACTTGGCCTGTCTGTTGGCACCGTCTGTCAGAGGCGACCACGTCCTCCTTTGGCTGTCAAGACACCTGATTCCACTCCTTTTCATTCCCCTTTGCAGGTTCCTCTTGTTCTCCCCATCTTCTTAAGTGAGAGTGCCTCCACGCTCAATATATAATTATCTTTCTCCCTACCCTCACTCCTTCGGTGATTTCATTTGACTTCATTTTTTCAACAAACCTACCTGCCAGCAACTCCCCAACGTATACCTCCAGCCCAGGCTTTCTCCTGAACTCCAGGCTTACATGGGCCCCTGCTACACAGCTACTCCACCAGGAGGTCTACCAGACACCAAAACCTTCACATATCCCAAACAAAACTGCTGATCATCTCAAAACCATTCCACCTGTGCTCCTCCTTCTCATCAAACCTGTTCCACCTGTGTTCTCCTATCTTAGATTACCACTCTGTGCTTCAAGTGCCTGATACTTCTCACTACACCTACTGCTACCCACATGATCTTTTACTTGGTTAATTTTTAGAGACAGGGTTTTGCTCTGTTGCCTAGGCTGGCATGCCAGTGACATGGTCATAGCTCACTGTAACTTTAAACACTTGGGGGTCAAGCAATCCTTCCCACCCCCACCTCCTGAGTAGCTGGGACTACAGGTGTGCACCACCACGCCGGGCTCGGCATGGTCTTTTTAGCTGGAATATTAATTACTACAGCCTCCTGACTGCTCTCCCTGCCTCCTTGCTTGCACCCTTGTAGTCTATTCATATCACAGCAACACAGGTCAGATCCTGCCACTCCCCAGAAGGCTGTCTAATGACTCTGTCCCACTTGGAGTAAAGCCCAGAGTCCCTACCATGACTATAAGGCTCTACACAAATGGCCCCCCTCTGTATTCATCCCTACCACTCTCCCCTCACTCCTCCTGCTCCAGCCATCTGGACTGTTTGCTGGTTCTCAAAAATGCTACCATACTCCCATCTTTGGAGCAGTCTTTGCACTGGCCCTTCTGCCTGGAACATTCCCTAGGGTGCCACATAGCAATGACCCTCAACCTCTTCAAGAAATCCCATGTGAAATTCTGCCCTGCCTTCCTCTGACCTGCCCTGGCAATCCTTACTCTGCTTTTTTTCCCCCTTAGCATGTCATCTTCTATGATACCATATTATGATTTACTTATTTATAATATTTATTGTCTGTCTCTCCCCCATCCCCAATCCCAAGTGCCTAGGCACAAAATTAGCACTCAATAAATATTTCTTGAATATATGAATTTCTAGGAAGGGCCAGGGCTTTGATAAGATTATCAGAGAGTTTGCGGTCCAAAAAATATGGAAAAAAAAAAAAAGATCAAAACACCAAACACTTCCAAGGAGTAAATATGTTTGGGAAAAAAAACACACTCCCACACACCAAACCCCCACTATTCCAGTCCTCAAAGAACCTTTGTGAGCAGAGACACAGCAGTAGAACCAATATAGATATATTGCTCTTGGTTTCTGCCAATTCCTTCCTGATAATCTGTCGTTCTGGTTTGCATGACTATGACAGTGTTGGGGGTTCCCTCCCCGCTCTCTCGGGAGACCTTGAATGCTGGCTGGGCAGCAGCTTCTAGACATCATGAGAGAGCTCACTCAGCAGCACATAGAGAGGAGAGACCATGAGATTTACCACGCAAAGCGGGCACTGTATGTGAAGTACATGCTGGTAGCAACAAGAATAGCGGTAAATACAGAACAGAAAATAACCATCTTTGAAATGACAACAAATGGGACACATTATCTAAGCACTAACACCTAAGGAGGTGGCTGCCCAAGCTCTGGTGGGCAGCTCCTCAGGAGAGAGAGGCCGACTTCTTTCCAGGTTGCCTGGTCTTCAGTCCTTGTAACTTTTCGTCTTTTAGCGCCTTCAGGAATGTATCTGCAAGACAGCAAAACAAACTTAGCCGTAATAGAAAAGACGTAAGGGCTTTTCCTAACACTTCCAAAGCAAACTCCTGGGAAGCAACGGTGCTTCCTTGAACTTAAAACCCCATTTGTGATCCAAGATGGGAGAGAAAAAAAACAAAAAACCGAAAACTCTGACTGTAAAAACACGTAACTGCTTCTGACTGTACATGCAACACATCCAGTTACATGTGTTTTTACAGTCAGAGTTGCTAAGTCCTGGATTTCTTCTTCTTCTTCTTCTTTTGAGAGGGAGTCTTGCTCTTTCACCCAGCCTGGAGTGCAGTGGCACAATCTTGGCTCACTGCAGCCTCCGCCTCCTGGGTTCAAGCGATTCTCCTGCCTCATCCTCTCCAGTAGATGAGATTACAGGTGCGTGCCACCAAGCCCGGTTCATTTTTGTATTTTAGTAGACACAGGGTTTTACCATGTCGGTCAGGGTGGTCTCCAGCTCCTGACCTCAAATGATCTGCACGCACTGGCCCCCCAAAGTGGTGAGATTACAGGTGCCAGCCACCACACCCGGCCCCTGGATTTCTTAACTATGTAGTTCATTACGATACTATGTATTACGAATACATAATATTATCTATGTATTCATAGTTAAGAAATCCAGGCCTTAGCAAAGCCCAGTTTTTCTAGGGACAGTTTTCCTTCTATGGCTATGAGAAAGGGTGCATTACAGTGTGTCCGATGAACTGAACACCATTTCCATGGCCACATGGGCCTAAGCATTTAGGTTATTTCATACTTCCCTCCTCTGTGTGGCAGGGGAAGCCAACTTAAGCCGTTATATACAATAGTTGGAATGATCTTTTTAGAACTATCTGCCCTCCTCCAGTGGTCAAGTACAAGCCTTAGCCAAAACAAGTGATGGGAAAGACAAAGTCTGCAGGACAACCTACCGCTACTGAAAGTTCTACTTTGCAATAGGTCCTTCTTGGAGCACAATGCATTTAACAACTTTACCCTCCAACAGGGAGGAGTCATTCAGCTCGTAGGCTATGGGATCCTGCCCGCATCAACACACCTGGTCTCCCCTGGTCCAGAGCCCTAAGACTTCAGACCTAAGACCAGATGTCAGCCCAGGATCTGGTGAGATAACTACTGGCGCCAAGCCCACGGAGTCCGAGAGGGCTGCCCTCCAGCACTGAGAAGTGGTGTCCCAAAGCTGTCCAGGAAATGGCCTTGGGTCTCTTGCACAACTCCCACCTCCTCCTTAAGATACTCCAACTGACTGTCACCTACTTCACTTTCCCCCCATGGAGAGCCGCGGTTTAAGACCGAATATTACAGCTTAGGGACTGTCTGTGGTGGGTGGAGCTCCAGAGTACAGGGTAGGGGGATGACTGAGCAGGAGGATTAAAGTTCAGGACGGGGTGGTGGCAGATGGAGTTCCAGGTGTGGAGGCTCAGAGTCCAGATTACCCAAAGGGTTTAGGATGGAGGCAGGATGGAGTTTGGGACTAAGGGGCTCATGAAGTTCATATCTGTGGTTGGAGGAGTCGGTTGAAGTCCAGGATAAGGGAGTCTGGGTGCTAGGGAATAGATTTTGGATCTGGGACTACTAGGGGCTGGAGTCAAACCAGGGACTACATTTCGGGGCGGGGCACGGAGCCAAGGAGGGAGCCAGGGTAAGGCTAAGGCTGGGCTCGGTGGCCCCGGCGAGGTCACGCACAGCGCTGGGAGTCGAAGCCGTCCCCAGTGATGGTGAGCAGCTCCAGCTCCTTAATCCGGATCTCCAGCTCGCACAGTTCCTCGGGGTGGGAGGCAGAGGCGAGCCTGGGGGTCGAGGGGCGGGGGGCCAGGGGCGAGACAGCCACCTCAGGCCCCGGCGGCGGCGAGTAGAAGAAGCGCAGAGGCTCGTAGGGGATGGAGGCCAGGCCAGAGGGCCAGGGCGAGGGCCAGGGGCGCTCGCCGGGCGGACCCAGGCCGGGTGGTGGCGGGGGCGGGGGCGCCGCGGCGGGGGGCGCCTGGGGCAGGGACCGGGCCCCCCCCGCCCCGCCCACTGTCGCCCCGCCCGCCTTCAGCGGCACGAAGAGCTTCTTCCAGATGTTGAAGTCGCTGAGCGGGGACGAGGAGATGCCGCGGTCGTACAGGGACGGGAAATAGAGGGGCGGGGCCGACCGCTGGCTCATGGTGGGGCTGTGGCTGCCGCGCCGCCCCTTTGGCATCGTTTGAATGAGGGTCTGCGTGGGAGGAACCCCGCGCCGGGAGACGCGCGCTCAGGCCCCGAGTCGCCGGGGTTTCGAGGTTCCACAAGCCCCGCCCCGACGGAGCGCGGCCCCACCCTTTCGCCTCAGCCCCGCCCCGAACAGGCGGGGTTCCAAAGCTCGGACGACCACGTCCCGGAACGTGGCCCCGCCCACCGGCGGCAGACCAAGCCCCACAGTGAGAAAGCCACGCCCTCGGCCTCGCCTCGCCTCGGCTCGCCTCCGGTCCCTCGACTCTACCCACCGCCTCGCTCTGGCTCTGCGACGCTCCTGGCTCCCGTTGTCACATCCCAGCATACCCTCATCCAGAGTAGGGAGCGAGCCAGAACTGCGGGAGAAATCTTGCTTCAGGCTTCCTCTCTTTCGCCCATCAGGGAGAAAATTATTTCCTAGAAACCTGGCACCTGCACCAGCAGACTTACCTCATTGCCTCACTGGCCGGGCCCACAGCAAAGAAGTCTGAGAAATGAGTGTCTGATTTTTCATCCACTACTATGGAAGGCAGACAAAGGAGAATATGATTGGGAATGGCCGTTAGAGTCAACCCATGTATCTGCCAAACTTTAGCAGTGCTGAGGGAGATTCTAGAAAAGTGGATCCTCATCTGGTTTGTAATAGATCTGAAGGAGTGTTTTCTTTTAATTCTCTTCCAAACACAGATAAAGCTAAAAGGCAACCAGCTAACCACCAAAAGGAAATCCTGTCCGCCCCACCTCAAATACCTCACCCATTGCTTATGAGCGATTTGGATATTTTGTCCAAAGGACATGACAGCTCATTTACGTGAGTAACCTGTATTAGCCATAGACTGAGGGGAAATAACTAATACATTTTCTTGAGAGCCTCTGCCTAATGATCACTGGTATGAATAGTGATGGGTAGAGGCCAGTTAAGGAGTCAGTATCAGCTTCACAAGTTAAACACATATATGCATATGTATCTGCACACACAGTGCAAATTGCGTGTGTGTGTGTGTAGCAGCAAAGTGGAGAGAGGCAGATATTCAAGCTGGGTAGCCTTGGACAAGTTGCTTGACTTCTAAGTAAGTTTTCTATAAAATAAAAATAAGAAAACCAGGCTGCCTCATAGGGTTGTGATCAGACAGAACTGTGTGTGTGGAACACTTGGACACTTTGTCTAAACACAATAGGCAGCGATCCCTACTAAGGGGCATGTCTGAAACTGGGAAGCTTTTGCTTCCCACACTTAGCTTCCCACACTTAGTTGTCACACACAGTATTTGCACGCTGACTTTGGCTGCCACCCATCATTGTTTATTCATACCAGTGATCACTAGGCAGAGGCGCTCAAGATGATGTATTTCCCCTCAGTCAATGGCTAATCCAGGCCATGTGCGATAGCTCAGCACCCAGCCTGTAATCCCAGCACTTTGGGAGCCTGAGGTAGGGGGATCTCTTGAGGCCAAGAGTTTGAGACCAGCCAGGGGCAACAGAGTGAGATTCTGTCTCTACAAAATAATTTTAAAAATTAACCAGGTGTGGTGGCATTTGCCTGGAGCCACTCAGGAGCTGAAGTGGAGGATTTCCTGAACCAAGGAGGTTGAGATTGAGGCTGCAATGAGCCACAATCATAGCACTGCACTCCAGCCTGGGTGACAAGGCAGGGCCCTGTCTCAAATAAATAAATAAAATAAAAATACCCTTATCTTCCATTAGTTTCCCCCATATATTTAACTTCCCATAATTTACTGCCCCAGAAGCTCAAACCTCTCTTCCTTTGTCTTGTCACTTTTCTACAATCGCCCATTGTTAAAATTGTATATAAGCTCTCAAGTCACTTCTTTGGGTTTTCACTTTGTTTCTGTAAGAACCCCACGTACCTGCGTAATAAACTTTGTCTTCCATTAGTCTGTCTTTGTCAGTTTAACTCTCAGGCCCCAGGCCCTGAACCTAAGAGATTAGAAGAAAAATTTTTTCACCCCTACAGAACCACAGTAATGGTAAGAACCAGGGTTTTGGACTCAGACTTGGGACCAAACCCTGGATCCACTATGTATTTGGTTGTGTGGCTGAACCTTTCTCAACCTCATTTTTTCATCAATATAATGGGAATAGTAATGGCATCTACTTGCTTAGGTTGGCAAGACTAAGTGAGACAGTTTAAGTACCTGGCAATGGCTTGTGTTCAACATTAGCTCTTGTTATTACATACTGAAGGCCCTCAGAAGCAAAAGAGACTTTGCGTTATATTTTTTAAATGAAGCAAAAAAATCATTTTTTATTTATATACCTAGTTGAGGAGAAAAAATGACAGATTCTTCCCCCTTACTCCAAGATAATCTAAACAGATTTTACTCCGGATGGCTTGCTTATAATCGATGAAGTTATAGCCAGTGGGTTAAATAAGAAGTTGATGACAAACTTGGTTTCTCTAACAACTATGCAAGAAAACTCAAGTGCCACAGTGAGCACTAAGATAAACTGCCATCAGGAGGCAAAGTCACTATGAGGTAATAATAAACCCACAAGGTTAAGGCAAAACCTGACGGTTGTTTCTGCAAACAAATGTCCAGGAAACTCAAGTTGGTGATGAAAGACAAAACAGCCTTGAATTCAACTTCAACAGAACCTTTCCCTCCCTGGGCTCCAAAGCACTATGTCACCTACCTCTCCACTCAGATTCCCCATTAAGTACCATCCTGTTGGAGCTTGAGGGTTTTGATTCCTAACGCCCCACTCCCTGGCTTCATTTGGAACCAACTGACACAGACACGAGTCCCTCTTCATTCATCAGGGTCAGTTGGAGCATGTAGCTGTTGGCCTGGTAGCCAGGTGGGCTTGCTAATCCTGCACCTCTACCTTAAGTTTACCCAGCGTGAGGCCAGGTTAGAAAGTCACAGGCCTTGGGAGCAGGGAGAGGGCCTTTACTATAATAGTGAAGAGCTTGCCAAGGACAGGACTGATTCTTCCTCCAGCCTCACCGATCAGGGCAGTCATCATTCTGCTGTCAGGAGGAGAGGGGCCAGAAGGTCACACTGAAGAAATGTGTCATGGGGGGAAAGGTTCCTGTCCAGCACTCTTACATAGGTTACTCTATTTAACCTAGGCTGACTCACTGCAGTTGGCACTGATTTTCCATTGCCACAGCCCTCTCCAGCCAGGAGGGCCTGGTTCCCTGGGTCCTCGGACTGCTCCCTTCAGAGAGAGCACAGAAAGCCTTCTCTGTCCCAAGGAGCCTCCTTTCCCCTCCCTCACTCCGGTTCTGCATCTGGACACACTATTGGCGACCAGACCCTGACCAGGTGCTCAGCCTCTATAGGGATATGTCACAATTTGCTGGTGGCTCTGGGCAGTCTTTGGACATGTAGTGCTTGTGTCTTGGAATACAAGGGTTGTGCCTGAATCTGGGACTCTCTGTGACCCTGGGAAAATCACATCAGCTCTCTGAACTCCAATTTTCTCTGATCTATAAAATGAAGACAATATCTACCTCATTGATGTATTTGATAGACATCTGTATAAGCAGTGCCAGGGACAACTAATAGGTGGTCATTGAAGTGTAGCTACAGTTATTATCAGTTACACATGGATTCCTTAATTCCCCATTAAGCCCTGGTGGATGAATGAGGAAAGTGCAGCAGGGGGTTGATCCTAGAAAACCCCACCCACTCCAGATAATTGCGCCAGCCTCACACCTGAGAAGCTGTTTATTCGACCTGCTGAGGACACAATGATAAACACACGAGAGGCTACTGTGTCCCAGGCACTTGTCTTAACTCATTTAACTTTTCTAACAACCCTGAGCCTAGGGTTCTCACTTTCCAGATGAGAAAACTGAGGCATGTAAGGTTAAGTAACTTGCCTGAGGGTGGCTGATTAGCATCAGAGCTGGGGTTTCAAATGGACAGGCCAGCTCTAGAAGCCAGGGTGTTTGGACAGCCTCCAAATTGCCACCCCAGCCTTCAGGGCAAGGCCGCAGCATGCGTGGCCTCTAGTCTCCTACCCCTCTTCCTGGCAGGAGGCTGGCTCTGACTGGAAGTTGTTTGTGCCACAATTTAAGGACCAAGCTATTCTGGGAAGCCCAGAACAGTCTTTCCTTTATTATTCATCTCAATTAACCATTGTGTTAGTCTGGACTTGGGGGTGCAGGCATTCCCATCTCCCTTTCAAGAAAGTTTCTAAAAAATGCAGACCAGCCTTTATTCTTGTTTTCCCAGGTAAATGTGGTCCTATGTACTTGCAGAGTAAGAATTAAAAATAAACTGAAACCTGAGAGGTAGTTTAGTGGAATAGGGAGTACAGAGGCCTGGAAGATGAGGGAGCTGGGTTTAAGCCCCATTAACCAGCATCAACTAGCCATGCTACCTTGGGCAAAATAACCGTAGCTAACACTTAGGGATTGTGTGTTCTCATGTTATCCCGACAGTAACACTTATAGGGTAGGTCTGTCAGAATTTTCTGTCCACAAGCAACAGAAGCTGACACGAAGAATTTATTGGAGGGCTATGAGACAGCTCATGGAATTGAAAGCTCTTAAGAACTAGACTCAGAAGGGGCAGAGACCAGGGCAACTTCAGGGATCCAGGTAGCAGGAAGGAATCGTATGGCCACTGTGGTGCTGTGTCTACCTTGTTTGCTGAGTCTTCTGGCTTTCTTCCACTCTTCCTGCTCTTGGACATCAGACTCCAGGTTCTTCAGTCTTTGGACTCTGGGACTTGCACCAGTAGCTTACCAGGGGCTCTCAGGCCTTTGGCCACAGACTGAAGGCTGCACTGTCAGCTTCCCCAGTTTTGAGGTTTTTGAACTCGGGTTGAGCCACTACTGGCTTCTCTCTATCCCAGCTTGCAGACGGCCTATTGTGCGACTTCACCTTATAATTGCGGGATCCAATTCTCCCTAATAACCTCCCTTTCATATATACATATATCCTACTAGTTCTGTCCCTCTGGAGAACCCTAATACCGGAATTATAACTCTAAGTTTCAGTTCTGGCCATAGCATTATGTCACACCAACATCAGCATCAATGTTTTAGGTTGCCTAATTAATGTATCTGTAAACCTACAGGCAGGTTGGGTGGGGCTAGTGAGAGTCAGCGCCAGCATTGATCATATATAGGATCAACCTACTGGGGTTGGCCACGTTGTATATAGCTATGAATAGCAAGGAGGGGAACAGCAACATCCCGAGGGAAACTGATCACAGAAAGGCAGCTCCCTACCCCACAGTAAAAAGAACCTTGAGTTTCCCAGTTTAGTCCCTTGCTGGGCGCATGCTGCCCCTCCCCTCTCCCAGAGGCTCTGGACCTACACAGCTGCTGAAAAAGAGAAAACGTCCTTACTTACAATGAACCATCACAGGCACCCTCCTAGAAATTAAGGTACTGTGGTCATTTACCTTACCCCAGAATAATAGGAGTGTGTATAAAGAGGAAGCTTTAGTTTAGATAAATAAGATATCCATTATAAAATGTTTATACTGAATAACCTATAAGCAATTTGGAAAAGAGACTTCTGGCTAGTTTTCACTTATTTCAAAGTCAGTGGGGGTAAATGCATTCTGATTCACTGTAGGTTTTAGACTCTTACAGCCTTAACAACCCTGTAAATCCATAACTAGCATCTTCCTATCTGGCAGACCCTTTACCTCAAGCCTCACAACAATTCTTTGAGGTAAGTGTAGAAAGTGAAAGTTCAGAAAGGTTGGGGGAAAAAAAAAAAACTTGTCCAGAGACACAGCCAATTAGTGGAAGAGAGTTTGAACTCAGGTTCCTAACTACAAAATCCACGGATTTAACTGCTGCTATCCTGAAATGAAATATCTACAAGTAGCAGACACTGAGAAACAGACTGGCAGATAGTGTTTTGAAATGATCTTCTGTTTCCAGGAAGGACTAACTAGGTCCTCTTCAACTCATGCTATTGGGTAACTTTCCAGTAAAAAAATAAATAAATAAAATAAAATAAAATAAAATATAATATAATTGCACTTTATGTTTTCTTTTCCAAAAAGAGGCAGAAACTGATTTCTTCAAAGTAAAAAAGCACCAGGAACCCATTCTAGGCTTTCCAAAGTTAGGCACATATTAAAAAGAGTATGCAAAACAGGCAGAGAAGTAGACCTGCTGACCTGAGGAGCTGAGTGGGAAGCATGGACTTGCCAACTTACCTAAGTGACCTTGAGCAATCCAGCTAACTTTGCACAGTTTCCCCTTGAGTAAAGTGAGGTGTGAGTACAGATGAAAATGTATATAAAACATAGCGCTTAGAACCCTGTACCAGAAAGTTGCCCTCATCACAATGAATGTCAGTCAGTACTAGCTCCAGCCAGCCCATCAAGAATCCCTCAGGGGGATCTGTCAGCATTCGTTCAGATCTGTTGGCAGCAACCAAAACTAATGTGAGCTAGCAGAGTTTGAACACTGCTAAAGGACTTACCAAGAGGACTCAGATGTATAAAGCTGGTTCATTCTGTCAAGAGGCCCAAAGTCTTGGGCAGGCTCTTATTTTTTCAGGACATACGTGACATGAGAAGTCATGGGGGCTGACTGCAAGGACACAAGAAAAACATACCCATACCTTGAAGCCCCCAGTACATTCAAGACTCAGTTCGGCAAATGGATTAGCATCTTTCAGGAAATACCATGAGCTCTACTGACCTACTCATCAGGTGTACCTTGCACCCCCAGCTCATCCCCTGAAGGGGATAATCCAATGGGGTTACCACCCAATACTGAACACTATGACAGTTCCTGTAAATCCAGATGAGTGGAGAGCATGGGGTAGTGGCTCTCGAGCAAAGAGCCAGTAGGCAAGACTGGACCCAAAGGCAATACCATAAACATCTTTACATTACAGGATTGCCTTTGTGTCCAGGTACTCAACCTTGTCTATAGCATGAGTCACAGCAACTTTATGCAGAAAGCAACCTCAAAGTTTAAGGCCATTTATATGACCGTTGTTGATTTGGACAGCTTAACAACCCTCTTCCCATCTCCCCATTTAGCAGCACCCAGATTCTGCTTTAGAGGACCACCTTCTTCCCAATGTAGTCTGGCCAAAAAGTGGGTACATGACACAAGATAGCAGTAAGTCAATCTCATCCTTGAATCTGAATCCTAAGAGAGGCTTCCGAAACTGTCGACTCCTGGCTTTCTGGAGTGTGGCTGAATTCCCCACCCCTTCGCCCCCAAAAAAGTTCCCAGAAATTCATTTTCTGCTCAAATTCATCAAAATTCATTCTCATTCCTTAGAACTCACATGAAATGTGCTTCTTTGCTCAGCCAGTGGCTGTGGGCATGGTCAGTACTTCCTTAGGCCAAAAAAAAAAAAAAAAATCCTATTGAGGAAAGAGTCACACCTAGTATTTTGTCTTGAAACTGAGGATTAAAGATGATGTAAGGAAAGACACTACGCTAACAGAGAACACAGAACACCAAGGTAATGCTAAGTTTTGATAAGCAAGTCTCTATTTTTCTATGTTCAGGGAATGGCATCAACAGAAGAAAACTGGCACTGCTCAGGATGTTTTCTTTCAGTTACTGCCATTAAGCATACTGCATATGCTCTTATCCTTTTGGGCCATAACCACATTCATCCACTTCTTATATTTCATTTTCAGAAAGGCATCATTCACTGCACTCAATTTGTCTAACAGAGTATAATCAAGGGTTTTTTTTTTTTTTCCAACATTAATCAAGAAATTCCTCCATCTGCAAAAGTCAGGCGATGCCATTAAATACAGCCAAGATCATAAAATACAAATGTTATTAAGGTCTACTGAATCTTGAGATTTATTCACTAGAAAATACAGGGAAAAGGAAAAAGTTTGCCCTTGTGAAAGGTGTGTATCATTTTTTAGAAAGAGCTTCTGAAAGCCTCAAACGTGTGTGACTGTGCTAATAGCCCTTACAAAGGTATTTTATACCATCTATGCTGAGTCAGCTAGGAGTTAACAGAAGGCTGGATGCAGACGGTAAAACCCTGCAGATCTGTTGTTATTAAGGATGACCTCTGGAAGTCTCAAACTGTAACCACAAAGGTTGTTCCCATTGCATTCATACTGTATACACACATACCTGAATAGCCTTCCTACCAGTAACATTTAAAATAAGCACACTTAATACTGCCAGTCACATGTACGGAGTGTTCATTCTGTAACTGTGTGTGGCAAATCCAAGATATCCCACCGTTCCAATTAAAAAAAAAAGGAGAGGAAATAGCTTTAACACACCATTAATGTATGCTATTACACTTTTCCAGTGAAAGATAACAAAGCTCATATAAAATTTAAAGATAGAGGAAAAACGACTTTCAGCCACTTGTATCTCCCTTAAGTTTTCATGCCCTGCCATCTGGAACACTTACCCACTTCCCTTCCAGAAGTCCTCTAGCTCTGCCTTAGGGATCTTGTTGCCCCTGACTGACACCCACATATGGAACATTTGGCATGCCTCCATGGCAACACGGGAGCCCTGAAGTTTACGAAAGCGTTCATGTGAGAGAGGATGCTCACACACTCCTGCCCAATCCTCCAAAGATGTACTAATGATGCTAACTGACTACATCCAAGGAGCCAGAGGAAAAATAATCTGAGGGTTGCAGAGAACCCACTCAAGCTGTCACTGCAAAGCTGCTCCTCCCAAGAGCAAAGGAAGAAGCATGCAATCTAGCTCAAGTCACACCTACTTCACTCTTAAACTTCTTCCTTCAAGTGGGGCTTCCCTGCAAACAGGACTGGTCTTCAAAGTCTCCCAGAGCCCCTCTATCTTAGCCAGGTTACTCAAGTCAATTTTATTCTTTCCCAACAAGATCCAGTTGGAAAATATCAAGCCTTTAGAATGCGGCAGCAAGGGAAAGGGGACTACGCAGGAACGGGGAGTATGGGAGAAGCTCTCCTGGTGTTGACTTAGGGATGAAGGCACCAGGCTGCTGCCAGAAGTGGGGTCACCAGCAGAAGAACTGTTTTCTCTGATAAGGATGTCCCACCATTTTCAAGCTGTTCGTTACACAGGTCCTTCTTGCAGCAGAAGTACTGTAGCTCGCTTTCCTTCAAGAGGGTTGAAATGTCATTGAAATTGCAATTCGCAAACTTCCAACACTGGTTATATACTTGTAACCCTGTGGGGAGACACACACACAAGGGTAAGAAAGTAAGTGGGAAGAGTTCTGTATCTGCCTTTGAACCCTCAATTGTATTTCATATGTATCCTGTGCAAGTAGAGACATCTAGACAAGATGCTCATCCCAGGTGGGTTAAAAAGGAGAACAATTAAGTAAATAATGATACACCTCTAAATAGAGCTTTTCCAGAAAACCAAGGTCTCATCATAGCCAGTATAGCTGTGGGTATGGGATGGGAGAGGAACAGGCATTTATACTGTTAAGAGGGAAATTTGGTAATATCTGCCAAGATTTTAAACACATGTCCCCTTTGATCCAGCAATTCCACTTTCAGAGTTTACACTATGAAGTTACTTGGGGTTTTTTTCCTTTTCCTTTTCTTTTTTTATTTTTATTTTTATTTTTTGGAGATAAGGTCTCACTTTCTTGCCCAGTCATCTGGTCTTGAACTCCTGGGTTCAAGTGATCCTCCTGCTTCAATCTCCCAAAGTGACAGGATTATAGGGGTGAGCTACCATGCCCAGCCAAAGCTATGTATAAAAGAGGTTAAGATATATGCTCACTGGACAGTATCTGTACAGAAAAAAGCCTGAAAACAACCCAGTCCATTAATTTTTAAAAAGTGTTTAAAGAAATTACAATAGAATTTCTTACAATGCAAGTCCACGTAGATAAGAAATGACATGGGCCTATGAGTGCTAACATGGAAGGAGCTTGATTTAAAAAAAAAGGGAGGCTGACGCAGGAGAATGGCGTAAACCCGGGAGGCAGAGCTTGTAGTGAGCCAAACCCGGGAGGCAGAGCTTGCAGGACAAGATCTGGCCACTGCACTCCAGCTCAAGGACAGGAGCTTGAGACTCCGTCTCAAAAAAAAAAAAAAAAAAAAAGTGGGGTGTGGGCAGAAAAATAGGTAAATTGGACTCCATCAAAATTTAAAACTTCTGTGCTTCAAAGGACATTATCAAAAAATAAAAAGATAACTCACAGAAAGGGAGAAAATGTTTGCAAATCACATGGAAAACACTAGGCGCGGTGGCTCACACCTGTAATCCCAACACTTTGGGAGGCCGAGACGGGATAATCGTTTGAGGCCGGAAGTTTGAGACCAGCCTGGTCAACATGGCAAGACCACCTCTCTATTTTTTTTTTTAAAGTCATATGGAAGAGCATAGTATCCAGGATATAGAAAACATTCTTAAACTCTACAATAAAAGGATTAACCCAATTAAAATATGGGCAATGAGGCCAGTGTGGTAGCTCACACCTGTAATCCCAGCACTTTAGGAGGCTGAAGTGAGAGGATTGCTTGAGGCCAGCCTGGGCAACATAGTGATATCCCAACTCTACACACACAAAAAAATTTAAAAATTAGCCAGGCAGGGTGTTGCAGCTTTAGTCTTAGCTACTTGGGAGGCCGAGGCAGGAGGATCACTTGGACTCAGGACTTTAAGGCTGCAGTGAGCTACGATTGTACCACTGCATTCCAGCCTGGGCAACAAAGCAAGACCCTGGCTCTTTAAAAAAAAAAAAAAAAAAAAACGGGCAAAGGATTTGAATAAACATTTCTCCAAAGAAGATTCTCAAATGGCCAATAAGTACATGAAAAGATGCTTGATATCATTAGTCATTAGGAACATGCAAATCAAAATCACAGTGAGATACCACTTTATACTCACTAGGATGGCTAAGATCAAGAAAATGGCAAATAGCAAATGTTGCAAGGAAGTGGCAAAAATTGGAACCCTCAAACATTGCTGGTGGGAATGTAAAATGGTACAGATACTCTGGACAAATGTGGCATTTCCGCAAAGAGTTAAAGATAGAGTTATCCATTTGACTGAGCAATTCCACTCCCAAGTATACATACTTCTGCCATTCTCTAGAAGGATTCCCAAGTAATTTAATGGTGTTATCATCATGGAAGAATACATTTCGTTTGTTTCTATTGAGTTTTTAAAATCTGCCACATGGATGATTTATTTTTAAAATATTTAATTTTAAAAATCATTAGATTATTCAGTAAGACAAGAAAAGTTTCTACAAAAACATGCCATCATGGTCCCATTTTTGGAAAAATAGCCTTGGGCACACAGGAAAATAAAGGCCAGAAGTATATGCTCCAAGTATCTTATCGTAGTTTTTTAATATTCAGAAAAAGCATGTTAGGTGAAAAATGTATTAGTTGAGAGAGTGGTGTTATGGTAGATTTTCTTCTCCAAAAATAACTGAGTGCCTATATGCTAGATACTGGGTCATAAGAAGGTATTTGTCCTTGCCCTGAAACTGTTTTCTTATCTTCTGTGCTGGAAAGAAAAAAATGCAGATGCATACTTCCTTATTTCAGGTTTGTAGCTAATTTACCCAATTCCATGAACAGCCTGGAATACAACACTTCTCAGTTTATAACTGCAGGCGTAACTGTCCTTTCCTTCTCCTCTGAGGGGATGGGTATTTGGACTGGAATTTAATGAAGTTTGGTCAAGTGGCAGAGTCCAGATAGAGTATTCTAGAAATGCCTCTATTTGCTGGAGTCTTAACTAAATAACTGGAAGCTTCTAATATTGTACTAGAGGCTGCTGGTGATTCAGACAAGTTACTGCTTTATGTAATAGTAAGCAAGCACTGGAACTTGAAAAGCTTTAAAGCTATCAGAATTTTAATTAGGGAAGCCTAGCAGCTTGGGGAGAACAGACAGTAATTTATTAATCATTGCTACCAATTAATCATTTACTATGTGTCCTGCAGCATATCAAAGTGCTTTACTTGAATTATCATATTCAAACAACAGCCTTACGATGGTAATCTTCTCACCAAAGCCAGCCCCGGAATTATTCACATAAAAGTGGATTACATCAGAGTCCCTGGAGTGTTAAAGGTTTTCTCCTCCCCACTCTTTTTGAATACTTTGGCTCAAGTCTATCTAAAGCCAACAGTCTTCAGTTGTCCTGGGCACCCTTAAATGTGGTCCTTGTTCAGAACGTCATTATAGCAATGACCACTTGGCACTGTCATCAGAGGCCCCTTCAAGACTAATTTAACCTGGCTTACACTTCCATGGTTTATACTGCTAGGATGCCAGTAAATATTGGTTGAATTAGCAGCCAACCTGTCTCTCTTCTAGACTTACTTTGCATAGCACCATCATATCCGTCGCTGTGCGAACGTCATAGAGTACAGTTACACAAACTTACATGGACTAGCCTAGTACACACTCAGGCTATGTGGTATGTCCTGTTGCTCCTGGGCTACAAACCTGTACAGCATGTTACTCTACTGAATACTGTAGGCAACTGTAACACAGTGGTAAATATTTGTGTATCTAACCATATCTAAACATAGAAAAGGTACAGTAAAAATGTGATACAAAGATTTTTAAAATGGTACACCTATACAGGGCACTGACTGTGAATGGAGCTTGTGGGACTGGAAGTCAGTGAATGAGTGGTGGGTGAATGTGTACATTAGTGTACACTACTGTAGATGTTTTAAATATTGTACATTTAGTCCATACTAAGTTTATTTTAAGAAATCAACCCTAGTTTGCTGCCACTTTACTTTAGAAACTTAATTTTAAATGTTTTTACCTTTGTAATAATAGTGTAAGACACAAACATGTTATACAGTTGTACAAAAATATTTTATTTCTATTCTTACTTTATAAGCTTTTTTATTTTTATTTATTTATTTTTGAGACGGAGTTTCACTCTGTCACCCAGGCTGGATCTCGGCTCACTGCAAGCTCCACCTCCCGGGTTCATGCCATTCTTATGCCTCAGCCTCCCGAGTAGCTGGGACTACAGGCGCCCGCCACCACGCCCAGCTAATTTTTTGTATTTTCAGTAGAGATGGGGTTTCACCATGTTAGCCAGGATGGTCTGATCTGCTGACCTCGTGATCCACCCGCCTCGGCCTCCCAAAGTCCTGGGATTACAGGTGTGAGCCACCACACCCGGTCAGAAGCTTTTTTATTTTATTACTTTTTTTAATTTTAAAAACTTTTTTTTGTTGTTAAAAATGAAGACACAAGCACACACATTAGCCTAGTCCTATATAGGGTCAGGATCATCAGTATCACTGTTTTCCACCTCTTCATCTTGTCCCACTAGAAGGTCTTCAGGGGTAAAAGTACGCATGGGGCTGTCCTGTCCTAGGACAGCAATGCCTTCTTCTGGAATACCTCCTGAAGGGACCTGCCTGCTGAGGCTGGGTTTTTTTTTTTTTCTTTTTTGCTTTGTCTTTTTTTTCTTTGTAGAAATAAAAGAAAAAAAAACCTTGTTCTGTCACCCAGGCTGGAGTGCAGTGGCGCAATCTCAGCTCACTGCAACCTCCACTTCCCGGGTCAAGCAATTCTCCTGCCTCAGCCTCCCGAGAGGCTGTTTTATAGTTAACATTTTTTTTAAGTAAGTAGAAGGAGTACATGATAAAATGATTTTAAAAATATAGTAAATACACAAGCCAGTAACACAGTCATTATAAAATATATACTGTACATAATTATCAAAATATCAAGTATTATATATTGTGTTATATTTTAGTTTTGTAAGAAACTACCAAACTGTCATCCACAGTAGCTATACTGGTTTGCATTCCCACTAGGAATGAATCAAAGTTCCCACTGCAGTTGGGCGTGGTGGCTTATGCCTGTAATCCCAGCACTTTGGGAGGCCGAGGCGGGCAGTCACTTGAGGCCAGGAGTTTGAGATGAGCCTGGGCAACAGAGTGAAACCCTGTCTCTACTAAAAATATAAAAATTAGCTGGGCATGGTGGCTTATGGCTGTAATCCCCAATTACTTAGGAGGCTGAGGCATGAGAATCACTTGAACCCTGGAGGCAGAGATTGCACCACTGCCCTCTAGCCTAGGTGACACAGCAAGACCTTGTCTCAAAAAACAAAAAACAAACCAAAACAAAAAAACAAAGTTCCCATTGTTCCACATCCTCACCGGCATCTGGAGTTGTCAGAGTTTTGGAGTTTGGTCGTTTTCATAGGTGTGTCTCATTTTTGTTTACATTAACCATTTATAAGAAATTTTGGGATTTAAGAGCTGGAAAAAGATCTTGGCTCTGACCTCCTTTCCTCTCCTCCCTACCTCTGCTGTCCAACACGTATTTCATAAATGAAAAACAGAGGTGGAGAGAACTAACTGGCAAGACAGAAGTCAGTGCTACTAATTGCTGCTCTAATATTCATTCAACACATAGTAATTGCTCTGATCATCTCATTTGGAAATTATACTTAAATTATACTTCGTAGTGAGGAGTCCAAGAGACACAGTTGATCAAGCTAAAGAGCCAGGTCTTCTGTGCTCATATATAATGACCACGTTTTCTCTAGGGGCCTTACTATGCTTTCTACATTAACAGTGAATGAACACGGTCTTCCAATGGAGGCAGAGGGACTGGTCCCCTACAGAATCAAGAACTCTGAATGGAGGGTTTGCAGTTTTAGCTGCAATTCAGCAATTTATATCAAAATTATCAGATGCTCCTGGTTTTTTAGACAGGGTAACTATAATTTGTCTTTAGTTATTGAGGGATTTCTCCTTTCTGGGGAAGTTAATCTTCTTTATCTCAGGCTTTTGTGAACCTGTGGGTGTCCCAAGGCTTTTCTGAGTTTACCTGACATGTTCACCATTTCTTGATGTTGACATTGGGGGGAGTTGGTGTAGAAGATCTAAGAGTACAAAGAACCTTGTGGAGTGTTTTTATTATTAATCTCTTAGAAATCTAAGCCTGGGGTTTTACCTTGGACACTAAGAACATTCTGAAACCATCATTCCTTGCTGGCATCATTTGCACACATCGATTCTATCCAGAACTATACCAGCAAGAACAAAGGGCATGTGTTTGCTGGTTTCTTTCCTCTGTCTACCACTTCCTAAACTCCATTTTAACAGGGTTGATGGAGGTGAATATTCCGTAGTCTCACAAATTTGGAAAATGCAGACTGGACAGGACTGGTGCATGTTAGTATTGTCCACCCCCACATTCATGAGCGTGCTGCTCTGAGGCTACCGAGCCCTGGTACCAGATATTGCCCCTCACAGGCACACCTCCTACTTATCCTTCTTACCTCCTACTTGTCCTTTGAGCTCAGCTTGAGTCTCCTCAGGACTCTGAAAATACCAGATACCCCATAGAATGAGACAGAGGCATACAGAAAGTCATGTAGGACAGTCAAACAGGCCTTTGTCATAATTTTAACTGTACGTGTCTTTTCTTTATCTTTGCATCCCTAGCTCCTAACCTTTTGCTGGGCACACAGTAGGTTATCCAAGGTTTGGGAGGCAGCACAGGGCTTCTGTTAAAGGGTACAAAGCTTTGGAAACAGACGGACTTCCATGTTCAATTCCTGAGTTGGTTATTTGACAATAGTTTGTTGCTTAAGCTGAGCCTCAGTTTCCACATTTATCAAATGGAAATAAAAGATCACCCTTAGAAGTACAAAACATTAAATTTAAAATGCATGCACATGTATACATATGTAACAAACCTGCACGTTGTGCACATGTACCTTAGAACTTAAAGTATAACAAAAAATAAATAAAATAAAATAAAATAAAATGCATGGACAAAGTGCTTAATGCAATACACACCTGATGCTAATAAACAGCAGCTATTACTTGATGCAAGTCTAATGGCCATTACAGTGGCACAATTTTCTTCCCAGGCACTTATTACCCCTTTACATTTAGGAGACAGACAGGGTAGGCTCTTACCAGCTCTGGCAATGAGACACGTATCAAAACCAGATGAACAATTGATGGCTGTTTTGCAGTCAGTAGTTGGGTTAGGACAGTTGTAGCATTGCAGGCTATGACCTAGAATCAGGAAGAAAGTAAGGATCTCTTAAAGCAACACTGACTTGTTCCCTGGCAGCCCACCATCTCCATTAATGTGGGCCCAAAGTCGGCAACTTGTGGTATACTTCCATTCCCGCACAAATGTATAGCGGTCATATCTTTCCAAATTGAAACTACAGTTCCAGCAACATTTTTTGGAACCTGATGCAAGCACAAAGGAAATATCCACATTTGAAAATCCATCTAACTGTGCAATTGAGAAGCTTCCTCCTAACCTGCAACTGGAAGGAGATTAGTCTGCAATGTAATGATGTGTTAAAAGGAAATTACCAAGAGAAACAAACAGAATTCTATAAGTGTCTTCCAAGCAATGAATATGCCCAATTAAATCACATCCTTGTGGGTTGATGATCAGTGTCTGGCAATACCTATCTGCATGAAAATACATTTTCAAAAATGAAATACATAAAATGTCATCACAGATCAGTATTAACAGACGAATATCTGCAATTGATTTGATGAGAAGGAACACTAATTTTGAACCTCAATTAAGCAAATGGTTATCCCCCTAAAAAGAATTCTATTCCCCTCATTAGTAGATGCGTATTATATGGTTGGACTCAATTATTATGTTGTGAATTTTGCCAATAAAAAAAATCTGTGAAAATTTTGTTTCTTCTCTTATTATTGAGGTAAGTCTCATAATACCCTTGATTTTGCCTCTTGACCTGCAAAGCTTAAAATATTTACTCTCTGGGCCAGGCGTGGTGGCTCACGCCTGTAATCCCAGCACTTAGGGAAGCCGAGGAGGATGGATCACCTGAGGTCAGGAGTTTGACACCAGCCTGGCCAACATAGCGAAACCCCGTCTCTACTAAAAATACAAAAATTAGCCAGGCATAGTAGTGCGCACATCTAATCCCAGCTACTTGGGAGGCTGAGGCAGGAGAATCACTTGAACCCAGGAGGCAGAGGTTGCAGTGAGCCAAGATTGCACTACTGCATTTCAGCATTTCACAGAGTGAAACTATTAAAAAAAGAAAAAAAAAATTGCCAGCTGGTCCCGTAGAGAAAAAGTTTGATAACTTCTGGGATAAGGTATCATTACTGAACTACCTGCTTCTAAGGGACTGACCAAATGCCAGGAGTACACATTGTCAAAGACAACAGCTGTGCACTTTAAACCCATGGCCATAGGAGAGCTGGGTACCAGCAGACACAACATGAGGGTCATCTTACATCAGAAGCAAATTGCCTCCAGTTCCCTAGTTTGAAAAACAATTATTGCTCCCAGTCAATTCTTAGGACTCATCCTTGCTAGCTGTCAGGTTTTACTAGGTTATTTTTCCTTCTCCATTTTTATAACAACAGTGACAAGAAAAGATGAGTTACAGTCCACACACGTGATGGGGACAGACTGAGGAAGCAAGAGTTGGAAGGAAATCGTCCTGCTTTGTATAGATAACCCCTTTTCCATCATCAGAGATAAACTATCTTCCTGCCATGTGACTTCTGCCATGTAATCAGTATTTGGCAGTACCCACCTGTGTGAAAAGACATTTTCAAAGAGGAAACATGTAAAATTTCATAAAAGAATGTCATGGTTAAACCAAGTGTGGGTTTTAGAGCCCAAGAGCTGACTTCTAGTTCTAAGGCTGAAGCCTAGGTTTATCACCATGGAAGGAGGAGATTTTTCAGTGGAAAGTCCAGTGGAAGGAAGGTGGGTCCTCACTTCCTGAGCACAGACAGGAACCCAGTTCTCTAGAGCATCTGAAATGGCCATGCTTGCCCTCACAGGTGTGAAATCCTACCCAACAGAGGTTCCCTGTGACTTGTGAAGGTTCCAGATTAATGCCTTGAAATATTAGTTTTAAAAAACAACAACAGTAACAACAACAACAACAAAAACTAAGCCAGGTGTGGTGGCTCACACCTATAATCCCAGCACTATGGGAGGCCAAGGTGGGTGGATCACTTGAAGCCAGGAGTTTGAGACCACCCTGGCCAACATGGTGAAACCCCACCTCTACAGAATATACAAAAATTAGCCAGGCGTGGTGGCACATGCCTGTAATCCCAGCTATTTAGGAGGCTAAGGCACGAGAATCACTTGAGTTTGGGAGGTGGAGGTTGCAGTGAGCCAAGATTGCACCACTGTACTCCAGTCTGGGAGACAGAGCAAGACCCATGTCTACATAAAATAAAATAAAATAAAAATAAAAAAATAAAAATAAAATAAAACCAACCTCCTCCTTCCCCACTGTTTTGCAGATAACAAGACAGATGTCTGGAGAGGTGACGTGACTCACCCAAGGACACCTGGCTACAAAGCAGCAGAGCTGGCGGCAGCCTCGGGGCCTGTGGGCAGGGCCCTATCCACTGGCTTTGTTTGTTCTCCCCCACTGTCAGCCTGTGGCTGTCATGACTGTATGAGAGGGAAGCCACAAGGAGAAGGCACAAAGATGCAATTTTTCTCTGGTCCCTTCCTTGTGCCTGACGTGTATTCATGCGCATGAAATGGAAAGAATCTAAGATGACAGGTGTTGTTCTTGAGACTGGCCATTTTTGAGGGTCATTTTAAAAGGTTACCTGTACATGTGGATTTTTGTACTGACCAGATCCTGGGCTCATCTGGCTTCTTGAGAAACCTTTAGAAGGAAAGGCTAAAACCCATGGTTGGAACGTCTGTGGGCAAAAGTATTCATGGCAAACACGTTCATTCAGTGTTCAAATATCTGTGCATCGATGTGCTAAGCTCTTCATAGGATTGTTAAAGCTCTTCATAGGATTGTTAAAGAGAAGTAGGCCCAATTATCTTCATCCCCATTTTGCAAGAGAAAACTAAGACTAAGATGTTAACTAAATTGTTCAAAGCCACACAGCTACTAAGTGACCAAGCTGAGCTCAAACTCAGGCTGTCAGTCCTAAAATCCAAGGTTGGTTAACCATGATGTTCTTATTGACCTGAGTGGGAAGAGAAGGAAACTATAGATTATGGGGGAAACTGAGGTCAAAAACAGGGCCAGGTGCAATGGCTCAGGCCTGTAATCCCAACACTTTGGGAGGCTGAGCTAGGTGGATCATTTGAGGTCAGGAATTCTAGACCAGCCTGGCCAACGTGATGAAACCCCGCCTCTACTAAAAACACAAAAATTAGCCAAGCATGGTGGCATGCACCTGTAATCCCAGCTACTCAAAAGACAAAGGCACGAGAATCGCTGGAACCTGGGACGCGGAGGTTGTAGTGAGCCAAGATCATGCCACTGCCCTCCAGCCTGGGCGACAGAGTGAGACTCTGTCCCCCTGAAAAAAACAAACAAACAAAAAAAAAAGCAATAGGTCAGTGGACAATGGTTTGATATTTTAGCCACTAAGCCAGGGTAGACGAGATTTCCTCTGGACTACGAGAGGCAGAGTTCAGAGGAAAGTTCCACTGCAGGGTCCTCAGACCCTTTGGGCAGCAGCAAAGAAGGCCTCTCATCTGTGGGCGTGTGAGCTTCACATCTCAAATCTCTGAGAAAGGGCTGATGTGCAACCCAAGACTTGTCAGAGAGAAGCTGATGGTCCCAAGCTTGCTCCATAAACAAATGCAGACTGCTAGAAGTAGGATATCACTGGGCTATTAAAATTCTAGAAAATATTCCAACTTAAGCAGCAGAGACAGAAAAAAAGAAGGAACAAAGAAAAATGAATGAATAAATAAAAAATAACTATAGAAAAAAATATAGTGTTTTAACACAGGTGAACCACATTACTGTGTACCCTGGCTAGAATCACAGAAGTGGAGGGAGGGGTGCTGTGACTTCTCTTTCTGCTCAGAAAGGGAGAGCATATTAAAGTGTGTCCTGGGGCAAGTTACTACTTTGCCTTCATTTCCTCAGCTGTAATATGGGAGGTAATAGCACCGACCTCCCAGGATGGTTAGATGGATTTAAATGAGACAGGCTCTGGCACAGTCCCCAGTAAACAATAAGCAGTCAATATATGGTTGCTACTAACATTCTTTTTTTTTTTGAGACGGAGTCTTGCTCTGTCACCTGGGCTGGAGTGCAGTGGCCGGATCTCGGCTCACTGCAAGCTCTACCTCCCGGGTTCACGCCATTCTCCTGCCTCAGCCTCCGGAGTAGCTGGGACTACAGGCGCCCGCCACCTCGCCCGGCTAATTTTTTGTATTTTTAGTAGAGACGGGGTTTCACCGTGTTAGCCAGGATGGTGTCGATCTCCTGACCTCGTGATCCGCCCGTCTCGGCCTCCCAAAGTACTGGGATTACAGGTCTGAGCCACCGCGCCCGGCCGGTTGCTACTAATATTCTAAGACATGCTACGGTGGTGTGGAAATCTTTTTTCAAATTGCTCACTGTATTGCTACTTCCTTTTCTGCTCCCCCCACCAACCATATTTATAAAAAACAAAAATCCAGCAGCAGCCAAGACGTTATACCAACATGACACAGGCAGGCAACCACATCTGATCCTTACAATGAAGCATGTGTGTTTCCACTGTTATAGAAGTTGACTCAGAAGCACACAATTTCCTCCAGCAACCAGGGGAAGGGTGACTGAGGGGAAGCGGTGGCCCAGTGACAGGTGGCCTGGGGCAGGAGGGAAGAGCCGTTGCCAGACTGTGTTCACATTCCAGTGTACCACTTCTGTGTGTTATTTGACAAGTTATTAATTTGGGGGGGCCCTCAATCTTGTTGCTTGTAAAACAAGGATAAAAATACCACCAACTCCATCAGGTTGGCATGAGGATTAAATAAGCAAATACATGTAAAATGCTTAGAGTAGTGACTGGCACATAAATGCTGTCAGGGTTAGTTAGCTGCTGCTGCTGTAACTATGACCATCATCATCATTAAAACATAGGAGGAGCCCAAGAGCAGAAGGACTGAGCTCGGATGGCTCTAAGCAGAGTGGACCCCAAATGGACTTGCACAGCACTCTAAGAACGGTATCCACTGGTGTCCCCAAGCAGCTTATGGTGACAGGAGCGAAACTTCAGCCGCCGAGTGTTGACCCACCCCTGCCAAAAGCCACCTTGTAACCCAGGACAGGGCTGTAACTCAGGAAGATGCCCCACTGAGGACACAGGAAGGAGCTGTCATACAACCCCAGACCTGTAACACTGGAAGGCAAAAGAAAGAAAGCCAGGCCTGGAGGAGGAGCTGGGGCTGAAACCGAGGCTTAAGAAGGGAGTTCATGTCCAAGGCAGCCTAGATCTGTGTCCCGAGACTGGAGCACTCACCTGAATGGCAGAAGACAGCCAGGACAAGCAGCAGCCCGAACAGGACAGACCCTCCTTGGATTCCCATTGTGATTGTCCACAGAACCTGGAAGGAAGGGACAGGAAGGATTGTCAGGAACCAACAAATGACTGCTGGTTGTCTCAAAAACCAAGGGCTGGAAGGCCAAGGAGGCTTCTGAGAGGAACACTTACAGGGGAAGTCAAGGCACACTGAATCCCCGGGCCATGCCCCAGCTCTAACCCACAGCACCATATACCCTTCAGTAGGCTCAGTCCCTATAAGCCCCAGCGTGCACTACCACACCGTGGGAATAACACTATCTTCCCCGTCAGGGTTAGGGACTCAAATGACAATATGACCACACTGACTCATACAGCCACTGTGGTTCCCACTCTACTGGCCCCACCGCAAGCTGCTGGCTGAAACAGAGGGCCACTTCTCTGAGCCACAGCACTAAGTGAATCAGACCAAAGGGGTGACCCTGGAAGGCACCAGCATGCATTTAGCAGCAGAACAGGGAGCAACGGCTCAGCATACCTGGAAGCTCTGGCTCCTCACTGTAAGAATTATAATGGGGACACTTGCTTGCTCTCTTTGGGCACATGAAGAGAGGTATTGGGCAACTTTGTAAGGTTCCATTATACAAATGCCTGGATGTGTAGTGATAGCATCAGGTGAGAAGGAAAGGCTGAAATGCCTCCAACCCTACTTTACCCAGTAAAGAAGCTAAGGCATGGGGAGGTTTTGAACTTGCCTAAGTACAAAGCATCCATAGCAGAACTAAGAAATTTCCCAACTCCAGGCCGGGCGCGGTGGCTCAAGCCTGTAATCCCATCACTTTGGGAGGCCGAGACGGGCGGATCACGAGGTCAGGAGATCGAGACCATCCTGGCTAACATGGTGAAACCCCGTCTCTACTAAAAAATACAAAAAACTAGCTGGGCGAGGTGGCGGGCGCCTGTAGTCCCAGCTACTTGAGAGGCTGAGGCAGGAGAATGGCGTCAACCCGGGAGGCGGAGCTTGCAGTGAGCTGAGATCCAGCCACTGCACTCCAGCCTGGGCAACAGAGCGAGACTCCGTCTCAAAAAAAAAAAAAAAAAAAAAAAAAGAAATTTCCCAACTCCAACCCTACATCCCTGAACCCATCTTGAAATAAGGAGGTGGCAGCGCCTGTAAACCAGGGCACTCCATATTCTGTTCTCCAGAGTCCCATAGGCCCGGACAGACAGATGGGTTCTTGGAAGGGTGAGTCACCTACCCTCCCTAAGTCAGAAATGCAGAGTTCCCTGGGGAACTGACAATCCTGACAATCCTTCCTGTCCCTTCCTTCCAGGTTCTGTGGAATCATCACCTCTCACATCTTGAAGGTCATCTGCTACTTAGGAATTTGCTGATACAGGCCAGTGGAGGACTAAGAAGCTCCAGGAAAAGGGCAGGGTCTGACACTGTCCAAAAAAGAAAACAATCAGTGAGTCAAGCCTGGAGATGTGGGTGGTGGAGGTAAGAAAGAGGTGGTTTTATGATATGTGAGGAACCAGGAAGAAAGATAACTGTGGCCTGGCCTTTCCTTACAAATTGAGGGCTCCCCACCAGCCACTGGGCTCTGAAACCTACAGCCTGCTATGGGACACCATCCCCCATGTGGACCTTCCCAGGGGCCTGGGCTCCAGCAGCTGCCAGGGGCCTGCCTGGTTCCCCATTTTCAGCGGTTTCTGAGTAGGAAGGGTGATTTACAGTCTCAGGTTAGTGCTGCAAGTGAGTAGGGAGAGGAAGGTACTGGTCTGAGGTCCCCAAACAGAGAGCTCCAGACACTTCCTAAAAGTTAAGTATAGCATGATCGGAACCTGGGTATTATAGTGAGACCCCATCTCTACAAAAATAAAAACGTTTAAAAAAATTAGGCTGGTATGGTGGCACGTATCTGTAGTCCCAGCTACCAAGGTGGGAGGATCGCTCAAGCCCAGGAGGCCAAGGCTACATACAGTGAGCTGTGACTGTACCGTTGCACTCCAGCCTGGATGACAGAGCAAGACCCTGTCTCCAAACAAACAGACAAACAAAAAGCCAATGTAGCTACAATGTCAGGCATCCCCATGGAAGCAGGAAGGAAGGAACCTCTGACTCGGGTTAGGCACTGGAAAGGTGTCAGGCTGGCAGGAGCTGCCGGCTCAGGACACTTCCCTTGGAATGGTCCTTGACATAAATCACACCGCCACAACACACAGGGTCCCTGACGGAGAGCTGTTCTTTGATGAAGTGCCTTAGAAAGAACTGGCCTGGGTGGAGCGCGGTGGCTCACGCCTGTAATCCCAGCACTTTGGGAGGCCGAGGTGGGCAGATCACGAGGTCAGGAGATCGAGACCATCCTGGCTAACACGGTGAAACCCCGCCTCTATAAAAATACAAAAAATCAGCTGGGTGTGGTGGCGGGCGCCTGTAGTCCCAGCTACTTGGGAGGCTGAGGCAGGAGAATGGCGTGAACCCAGGAGGCAGAGCTTGCAGTGAGCCGAGATTGCGCCACTGCATTCCAGCCTGGGTGATGAGTGAGACTCCATCTCAAAAAAAAAAAAAAAAAAAAAGAAAGAACTGGCCTGCTTTCACAGGTGTTCCAGTTCAGTGTGGAGGCCTCTGAACAAGGCCAGATAGTTCTGGCTCTGTCACCTCTTTGCTGTGTGTTAACCTCTGATCATGCTTTGGCCAGTAAGCATGGGGATAGTTATGTGTACTGCATAGCACAATGCCTGGCAAAAGATGGCACTCAAAAAGCTGTGGCCACTGTTAGTGCAACTTAGGCGTAATGAGGTTACCTGAGGAAGAAACTGCGTGGGGAGGGAGTGCTGGGGGGTGAAGGATGGGAAGGCAGACAAAGGGTGATGTGAGATGAGGAAGCCAGAGAAACACCCTGGGTTGAATAAGCAGGGAAGACCTCAGGCATCAAACCTAAGGAAGCCCTCAGTTTTCTGGGATGGATGGAGAGTGTCAAGTCTTAGCTTCAGTTCCACATGACCGGCTGGTTGTTGCTATAGCTGATCCCATGACACACTGCAGGGGAAGCCAAGATGGCAGAGAAAGGAAGTAGCTATGTGTAGATGCCCAGGTCAGGCTGTTTGATCAAAATAAGACCAGGCCTTTAGGAACCACTGCCAAAATACGAATTTCCAAGAGCAAAACGTTCACGTGGAGTGTGTGTATGTGTATGGGGGGCGGAGGAAGGTGGGAGGCAGAAAAAGAAATAGCTGACTGTTTTAAGGCTATTTTATAAATGCCCTAAAACGTAGATGGTAACTAACACTAAGCAAGATCATTTACGGCTTTTATTTTTCTTCCTGATCCTTTACTTTTTTCCATCCTTTCCCCAAATATTCTATAATTAACAAAGTATTACTTTTACAATCAGAAACATCCGGAAAATCCACACATGACTATGTTCCTTTTCTAGTAGTTATAAATCATCTATCTTTTGGTAAAACTATTCCCTAGTCTAAAACACCCTCCATTTTAAGTAAAAAAAAAAAAACGAAGATGCCCATAAGGTAAGTGTAGATGACAAATGAACCAAAAGTGCTACCATTCCACCCAAACCAAGCACTTAAATGCAAGATACACTCAGAAAGCATCAACACTCAATTCCTTTCCAAACATCTCAGGACTCATTAATAACAGCGGGTTTGTCCCTAAAGACTGTTCTAATAATATTGCTACTGTTCTGAATTTTTAATTCTTCTGAAGAATGCACAACTGAAAAATCCCTCAAAGAAGATATGTAGGGACAAGTCTTCCCCATGATGAAGGAAGGGCAGGTTTTCCTGGGTGGTGCGTAAGTTGACTCTAAAGTTTTTTTTTTTTGAGACGGAGTCTCGCTCTGTAACCCAGGCTGGAGTCCAGTGGCGCGATCTCGGCTCACTGCAAGCTCCGCCTCCCGGGTTCACGCCATTCTCCTGGTTCAGCCTCCCAAGTAGCTGGGACTACAGGTGCCTGCCACCTCACCCGGCTAGTTTTTTTTTTTTTTTTTTTTTTTTTTTTTTGTATTTTTTTAGTAGAGACGGGGGTTTCACCAGGTTAGCCAGGATGGTCTTGATCTCCTGACCTCGTGATCCGCCCGTCTCGGCCTCCCAAAGTGCTGGGATTACAGGCTTGAGCGACCTCGCCTGGCATACTTTAAAATAGCAACAATGTAGTGACACACACATCCAAAGATAAGGAAATGAGTATATTATGGTACACTTCCATGGTGGGGAACTGCATAGCCAGGAAAAGAATGGGCGTGGAAGGCTGCTCACAATGAATTAAGATCTACCAAGCAAATGCAAAGCAAAAAAAGCAGGGGTTGCAATCCTAGTCTCTGATAAAACAGACTTTAAACCAACAAAGATCAAAAGAGACAAAGAAGGGCATTACATAATGGCAAGGGGATCAATGCAACAAGAAGAGCTAACTATCCTAAACATATATGCACCTAATACAGGAGTACCCAGATTCATAAAGCAAGTTCTTAGAGACCTACAAAGAGACTTAGACTCCCACACAATAGTAGTGGGAGACTTTAACACCCCACTGTCAATATTAGATCAACAAGACAGGAAATTAACAAGGATATCCAGGACTTGAACTCAGCTCTGGACCAAGCAGACCTAATAGATATCTACAGAACTCTCCACCCCAAATCAACAGAATATACGTTCTTCTCAGCACCACATCGCAATTATTCTAAAATTGACCATATAACTGGAAGTAAAACACTCCTCAGCAAATGTAAAAGAACAGAAATCACAACAAACTATCTCTCAGACCACAGTGCAATCAAACTAGAACTCAGGATTAAGAAACTCACTAAAAACTGCACAACTACATGGAAACTGAACAACCTGCTCCTGAATGACTACTGGGTACATAACGAAATGAAGGCAGAAATAAAGATGTTCTTTGAAACCAAGGAGGACAAAGATACGACGTATCAGAATCTCTGGGACACATTTAAAGCAGTGTGTCGAAGGAAATTTATAGCACTAAATGCCCACAAGAGAAAGCAGGGAAGATCTAAAACTGACACCCTAGCATCACAATTAAAAGAACTAGAGAAGCAAGAAATTAGAATGGTGATCATTAAAAAGTCAGGAAATAACAGCTGCTCGAGAGGATGTGGAGAAATAGGAATGCTTTTACACTGTTGGCGGAAGTGTAAATTAGTTCAATCACTGTGGAAGACAGTGTGGTGACTCTTCAAGGATCTAGAACTAGAAATAACATTTGACCCAGCGATCTCATTACTGGGTATATACCCAAAGGATTATAAATCATTCTACTATAAAGACACACGCACACGTATGTTTACTGCGGCACTGTTCACAATAGCAAATTCTTGGAACCAACCCAAATGCCCATCAATGATAGACTGGATAAAGAAAAAGTGGCACATATACACCATGGAATACTATGAGTTACAGTTCTTTGCTGGAAAAAGGATGAGTTAATGGCCTTTGCAGGGACATGGATGAAAGTGGAAACCATCATTCTCAGTAAAGTAACGCAAAAAGAGAAAACCAAATACCACATGTTCTCACTCGTAAGTGGGAGTTGAACAATGAGAACACACGGACACGGGGAGGGGAACATCACACACCGGGTCCTGTCTGGGGTTGGGGGGCAGGGGAGAGATAGCATTAGGAGAAATACCTAATGTGAATGATGAGTTAATGGGTGCAGCACACCAACACGGCACATGTATACCTATGTAACAAACCTGCACGTTGTGCACATGTACCCTGGAACTTAAAGTACAATTTTAAAAAAAGAGCTTAAACTTAGTATCTCCAAGAAAAAAACAAAAACAAATACAGGCACTTCTTATCAAGTTCCTAAAAATGTTTTAGATAGCAAATGTTCTAGGTATTTGGGTAGAAAATGCAATGAGCCTATTTCCACTGTTTTAAGTAGGAAAACGTGTTACTGTCCATCCAAAAGCCTCAACCGGCTCCCCAAATATCAATTAAATATATACACCCACACACATGTGACCCTTGAACAACACAGATTTGAACTGCAGGGGTCCATTTATATGCAATTTTTTTTAAGAAAATATATTGGAAAATTTTTTGGAGATCTGCAATTGAAAAAACTGTTACATAAACTGCATAGCCCAGAAATATTTTTAAAAATTAAGAAAAATTTAGGTATGTCATGAATGCATAAAATGTATAGAGATACTAGTTTATTTAATCACTACCCAAAAACATACACAAATCTATTATAAAGTTAAAATGTGTTAGCCAGGCATGGTGGATCATGCCTGTAATTTCAGCACTTTGAGGGACCGAGGTAGGTGGATTGCTTGAGCCCAAGAGTTTGAGACCAGACTGACAAAACCCCATCTTTACAAAAAAAATAGCCAGGTGTGGTGGCGTGTGCCTGTAGTTCCAACTACTCAGGAGGCTGAGGTGGAAGCATTGCTTGAGCCTGGGAGGTTGAGGCTGCAGTGAGCCAAGATCACACCACTGCACTCCCACCTGGGTGACAGAGTAAGACCTTGTCTCAAAAAATAAAAACTTACACACACAAACACAGACCATACATGGCAACATTTAAAGTCAAGAGAAATGTAAACAAATGTAAAGATGCAGTATTAAATCATACTGCATAAAATTAACTATAGTATATACTGTACTGTTAATAATGCCGTAGTCACCTCCTGTTGCTACTGCAGTGAGCTCAAGTGTTGCAAGGATCTACTTATCATCAGGGATAGGATTAGTATCATGTGATGATAATTATCTGTGAGCCGTCTACCTCTCTAGAAAATTGCATATCACAGTAAAAGGTGATCTCTTGCAGTTCTTGAGTATTTTCTTTATCGTGTTAAGCACAATAGTGTAAAACTTGAATGACACATGAGACCCATACACGGTACCTCTAGTGATGCTGGACACGCTCCCAAGAAGCATAGAAAAGTCATGATGTTACCAAAAAAACAGTTGAACTGCTTGATACGCACCACAGATTGAGGTCCGCAGTTGTGGTCGCCTGCCATTTCAGACAGGTAATTCATCTTGTAAACAGACGACATAAACTCGTGGTATCAATAACTATAGTACAGAACTATAATGGATTTTCTCTTCCTTATGATTTTCTAAGTAACATTTTCTTTTCTCTATCTTTATCACAAGAATACCGTAGGCAATACATATAACACACCAAATGTGTGTTAATCAACTGTTTATGTTATTGGTAAAGTTTCTGGTCAAAAATAGGCTATTAGTAATTAAGTTCTGGGGGAGTCAAAAGTTAAACTTGAATCTTCAACTGTTGGGGGGGTCAGTTTCCCTAACCCCACATTGTTTTGGGGTCAACTGCATATAAACATATATAATATATATTACATATACATGTAAACACATATACATATATATTACATATACGCACACAAATACACATATGTATGCACATATATATGCGATCCAAATAAATGTGAACATAAAGCATTTAACACATCCAATAATTATTTAATAACATTTAAGGAATTCACTTATCAGTATATTTACTACTGTGAAGTATGTCTCACCTCCTACACCAACTGGTGCTGAAGACTAGGACGAAAATAAAAGAGGGTCATAACACTGGTTCTCAAACTTTAGGGAGCATCAGAATCACCTGGAGGGCTCTTAAGCAGATGATGGGACTCCAGCCCTAGAGGTTTTAATGTAGTGGGGCTAGTGTAAGGCTCAAGAATGTGCATTCTGAGCCAGCACTCGGGGGCTCCGTATCTGCTGGTTCAGGGATCACACTAAGAACCACTGCGTTAGACGGTGACCTGGCATAAGGGCCAGGTTACTTTACATTGGGTTGGAAATGTTTCTTCCAACACGGCTATCAAAGAAGCTGTTAGTTCTGATTAAATATTTAGGAGCCGCTTCTACTTTTAAGGGCCCATATGATTATGATATTGAATGCAAGCCATTAGGCAAGACCTTGTGATGTGGTTTGGCTGTGTCCCCACCCAAATCTCATTTTGAATTGGAACTCCCAGAATTCCCACATGTTGTGGGAGGGACCTGGTGGGAGATAATTGAATCATTGGGGGCGGTTTCCCCCATACTGTTCTTGTGCTAGTGAATAAGTCGCACAAGATCTGATAGTTTTATAAGGGGTTTCCCCTTTTACTTGGCTCTCATATTTCTCTCTTGTCTGTTGCCATGTAAGATGTGCCTTTTGCCTTCTGCCATGATTGTGAGGCCTCCCTAGCCACGTGGAACTGTGAGTCCATTAAACCTCTATTTCTTTATAAATTACCCAGTCTTGGGTATGTCTTTACCAGCAGCATGAAAATGGACTAATACACCACCAAAATCTCCTGGTGAATTTTAATCCCCAGTGTTGGAGGAAGGATCTGGTGGGAGGTGATTGGATCATGGGGTGGTTTCTAACAGTTTAGCACCATCCCCCTAGTGCTATCTTGTGACAGAGTTCTCATGAAATCTGGTTGTTTGAAAGCGTGTAGTATTCCCCCTTTGCTGTCTTCCTCCTGCTTCCGGCAAGTAAGGTGTGTTTGCTTCCCCTTCTGCTTCCACCATGATTCTAAGTTTCCTAAGGCCTTCCCAGAAGCAGAAGCCTATACAGTCCAAAGACCTGTGAGCCAATTAAACCTCTTTTCTTTGTAAATTACCCAGTCTCAGGTACTTCTTGATAGCAGTGTGAGAATGGACTAATATATTTTGGCAAACGTTGCCAGCTCCCTCAACATTCTGAGCTCTGTGCCTTCTTCAGGGAACTGGGAGTAAATCTCCAGGAGTGGAGAACTTGAACAACTACTCAGGGATCGCAGGGTACCTGAAATAATTAGCAGCCACTGCGTTTGTGCTGAGCGCTTTCCATCAATCATCTCAACTACCCTATGAAGTGAAGCCTATTGTTTTACTGACAAAGTGCTGTTAAATACTTCCAGAAATGACCAGTGGAGAGCCTGGGTATCACTAAACGGCCATAAAAGGCGCGCTGCCTAATGTTGGTTTTAGTTTGTTTGTTCTTCGTGGTTTTGTTTTGTTTTTGAGGCTGAGTCTCCCTCTTGTTGCCCAGGCTGTAGGGCAATGGCGCGATCTTGGCTCACCGCTACCTCCGCCTCCGGGTTAATGTTGTTTTTTTAAAAGTCAGCAGTCAGACTCTAACAAGGGTGCGGCCTGAGCCGACCCAAGAGAACAAAACACCACGTCGTACTTAAAACGTCCGTTTCGACCGGGCGCAGTGGCTCAAGCCTGTAAATCTCAGCACTTTGGGAGGCTGAGGCGGGCGGATCACGAGGTCAAGAGTTCAAGAAGAGCCTGACCAAAAAGAGGAAACCCCGTCTCTACTAAAAATACAAAAATTAGCCGGGAATGGTGGCGCATGCCTGTAATCCCAGCTACTCAGGAGGCTGCGGCAGGAGAATCGCTTGAATCCGGGAGGCGGAGGTTGCGGTGAGCCGAGATCTTGCCACTGCACTCCAGCCTGAGCACCAACAGCGAAATTCCATCTCAAAAAAAAAAAAAAAAGTCCGTTTCGCCCGACACCTGCTTTTCAAAATTCTACATTTAGACCGCGAGGGGAGAGAGTAACGGCCGTGACCACGGAGGGCTGGCCTTTCCCCCCGGCGCAGTTCCTCTAAACTGCTGGAGCTTCCCTTGAGACGAAAGCGATGGCAGTGGGCCTGGGTGCGAGGCTGCCCGGCGGGGGAAGGAGGCTGCTTCTGGAGAGGGCGCGCTCCCCGTTTCTCCTTCCTCGTAGATAAAACGAAGCCAGGGTTCGGCCAGGACACCGGGCCGCGGTGACGGGCGGAAGGGCCAGGCGTCGGGAGGTTCGCCCGGCGGCGGGGGGGTCGAGTGGAAAGCAAGGACAAGGGTAGCGCCGCAGACCCTCCGCCCAGGCCCAGACTGCCGCCGCCTCGCCTCGGCCCACCCCAACCCCAGCAGGCCCTCGAGCCTTCTTACCTGGCAGCGCCCGGGATCCGCTTCCAGCCTCGCGCTACTTCTGCGCTCAGCCCCCGCAGCTCTTTGCTCCAGCCCGCGAGGCTCCGCCCCCGGATCCGCCCCTCAGGATGCCCTTGCCCCGCCAGGCTTCCGGCTCCTGCACCGCGCGGCCACGCCTCGGCAGGAACCCCCTCCCCTCCCTCCACCCCTCGCGCGGAACTCAGCCTCCCAGCCCAGGTTCTGAGCAGGCCGGGTGGCCAGGACCCAATGAGCACCTTCAAAACGCCAGGGACCTGAAAGTTTGCAGCGTCCTCCTCGGATTTGCTATGGGACATAAAAACAGTAGGAAACTTCCAAAGACTTCTGATTTTCCCTTTTATGTTTTTTTTTAAGTATATTAAAATGTTTTTCAAAACGTTTCTGTGCGTCTTGCTGGTGCCCTGGGTGCCCCAAGTCCTGGCTGTCGGGCTCTGCGGCCCTGCTGCAGTCTGAAGCTGCTTCCTGCTGCCAGGCTTGGGCAGCATCCAAATAGCCATCAGCCACAGCCGCATCCGTGTCTTGTGACTTGTTTGAAACCCAAACAAAATGTTATGCGTTTAAAAGCTTACTGGGCTGCTCAGGGACCAGTGTTTTGAATGAACCTCTTCGAGTGTCTATCAACTTAGCTGGTAGCTACTGTTCCCCAGCAACCACCAGCGACAGGGACAGAAGAGCAAGAGCAGGGGATCCACCTGCATGAGTCTGTCCCTTCAGGGTGGCCTCGCCCTCAGGGACTGGATTGTAGGCATGGTTTCAATGACACAGCAGTGTGAAAGTTTAAGAGTTTTTAGTACTTAGGGACCCTGGGTGGTACACAGCATGCCTACAGGACACACACACACACACACACACACACACACACACACACGGAGATCAGGGAGCACAGGGAGAGGGGAGGGAGGGACCCACCTACCCACCTTTGGGTCAGCAACTTTATCCGGGTAAGTTTCCTCTGGAGAGCTCTAACTGGTGGATTTAAAGCAAGCAGGTGAAAAGGCAGAGGCTGAAGGAACTTGAACCCGAGTTTGAAGCTGCAGCAGTGCCTTAATATCACGTCACTTCATGTTTATGTCTGGCCACCAGCTGGAGCCATTTGCGTGGGGTATAGTATTGGAAACTGTCAGTGGTGATTGAGACTTGCTTCTGTTATTAAAAGTTAAACATATTTGAAAATGGATGCTGAGGTAACAAAAAATTATAAGCACTCACCAGAACCGGAACCACCATTTGGAACATTAATATGTGCAGATGTAATTAGAAGTTTCCATTTGCTATTATATTTGGAAAGTGTCCCACTCACTGAAGAACTGGCTGTAAGAACGCCATAGGAAGGAGGGTGGGGCTACAGGCCAAAAGTACAAGTCTTCCTCCAAGAGGATGGCCTCTGTTGAAAAGCATGAGACACACTTTGAGGGTAAGAGTGAGAAGATTTGCATCTAAGGGCTGCTCCTGTTGAACTGATCAGGGAAGAAGGCGTGAGATAAAATTTAAGCAGGGGAAATCATAGATTACTGAATCTCTTTTAGGGAAAATCATATGGTAACTGTCTTGACATGTGTCTTCTACTGTCATTCTGATGGCTTTGGGATGTCAGGGAATGAGTTCCATTTGGTGGTGCTCAAATCCTGGTATTCCTCAATACAAGTGAGAGTTTTTAAAATCAGGATGACTTGCTTTGATATTTAAAGCATGTCTCCTTAAAACAGCTAATACTGTATATTTCCTAAGATGATTTCCAAAGCTCTTTCATGTGCATTACCTTACACACATCCTATTAGCTATTCCTTCCTTGACACGCTTGGCTTCTGATATGCCACTCTCTCCTGGTTTAGTTCCCAGTTTCTTGACCATTTGGTCTTGAGATTCTTTTCCTTTATCCACTAATAATTTGGTGTCCCAGGATTAGACTGAGAACCATGGCTATATGTGCTCCCTGGGAGACTATAGTGTACCTAATAGTGTACCTACTCTTTTACCTCAGGATGTATGTGTTTGCAGATTATTCAAAAGTCTCAATCTCCATCCCTGACCACTCCCCCTATCTTAATATTCATATCCAGCTGACTGCTGAACGTCTCCACTTACATGTTCCACAGACATCTTGTACGTGATGTGCACAAATCTTAATTCATCTTTAAAGATTGACTGCTTTTCCTGCATTTTTTCCGTAAATGAAACAGAAACCTAGGAATCAGCATTGACCTCTTCCACTTCCTCACATCTACTCAGCCATTCCTGCCTATTTTACCATTTCAGTATCTCAATTTCATTCCCTCTTGACATTGCTACTGTGCTAATTCAGATCTGTAGTTTGCATTACTTGAGCCATTACAATTCCTTTATACCAGGCCCCCATGTGGCCCATGTTTATTCCTGCATCCCCTGCCCCTTCCCTGCTTGCCTTCCACACAGCTGCTAGAGACCTGACTAGTTTACCTCTCCAGCCTCATGTCTCACTTTTCATTTTCCACTTCATTTTACCTTGTTATCATCATCCTTTTGTGAATACAATATGACTGCAGCAGCCAGTATGCAACCATGATCTTCTCTGAGAGGAAAAGTCTTGTGCTAAGGATGGCAAGACAGAAAGATGGAGCCAATCTGAACTGTTGATAACACCAGTGTCATCGTGTCAGCCTTGAACTAGCTACCTCTGACTATTTGCAAGAATAACCACCCCCAAACTATTTAAGCTACTGTTAATTTAGGTATTTGTCTTATTCTAGTGATACATCAAGCCTCAGAGAAATTAGTAAAAAAAAAAATCGGTTGTGTTTTCAAGGGGCCTCAGAGTCAGAAATGGCCTTTTCTCCACCAAAAGTAGAGTCTGGTTTGGGCAATGTTAATGCCAACTGTTAAATTCCTATTATGTGTGAATAAGTATTCTTGCCAATGGCAGAAAATACAGAAGCTTGTTACCAGCAAACTTCACGTTAGGCCGGGCGCAGTGGCTCATGCCTGTAATCCCAACACTTTGGCAGCCTGAGTCAGGAGGATCACTTGAAGACAGGAGTTTGAGACCAGCCTGGTCAACATAGCAAAACCCTGGCTCTACTAAAATTGCAAAAAAGGGCATGGTGGTGCACAACTGTGATCCCAGCTACCCTGGAGGCCGAGGCATGAGAATCACTTGAACTTGGGAGGCAGAGGTTGGAGTCAGCCGAGATCATGCCACTGCACTCCAGTCTGGGAGACACAGAGAGACTGTCTGAAAAAAACAAACAAAAAACTACACCTTAGTATGAACTAAAGGTCACTCATTCAACAAATAAGAGAATGTGAATTCTGACGAGAGGATAAAGCAAATCAAAGCATTCTGAGGAGCAAGGGTTACACAGGGTTGGAAGGGAGATTTGGGGCATCGTAAGTACTCTGGAAATAGAGAGGTCATCCAGAAGAGAAAGAAAAACTGGCAAGGGATTCCAGGGCTAGCTTTAATTGCCAAGGTTTACTAGTTTTTGATTACTGCTTTATTGGAAAAGTTTGGTTTTGAAAAAATTAAGTGGTTTGACGCTATGGTCTGAATGTTTGTGTTCCCCAAAAATTGTTGAAATCCAATCCCTAAAGCAATAATATTAAGAGGTAGGGCCTTTAGGCTCTGCCCTCATGAAGGGGATTAGTGCCCTTACAAAAGAGGCCTGAGGAAGTTTGTTTGCCCTTTCCACTACATAAAGACATGGCAAGAAGGTACCATCTTTGAAGCAGAGGGAGGGTACTTACCAGACACCAAATTTGCTGATGCCTTGATCTTGAACTTCCCACCCTCCAGAACTGTGAGCAATAAATCTCTATTGTTTGTAAATTACTCAATCTAAGGTATTTTGTTATAACAAACTAAACAAAGACAATTGACTTATTTTCAAAAAAGGATAGCTGCCAGGTGTGGTGGCTCACGCCTGTTAATCCCAGTACTTTGGGAGGCTGAGGCAGGCAGATCACGAGGTCAGGACATCAAGACCATCCTGGCTAACATGGTGAACCCTGTGTCTACTAAAAATACAAAAAAATTAGCCGGTCCTCATGGCAGGCACCTGTAATCCCAGCTACTCGGGAGGCTGTGGCAGCAGAATGGCGTGAACCCTCGAAGCGGAGCTTGCAGTGAGCTGAGATGGCGCCACTGCACTCCAGCCTGGGTGAGAGCGTGAGACTCCATCTCAAAAAAAAAAAACAAAAACAAAACAAAACAAAACAAAACATAGCCATAATAGGATTTGATAGCCTGATTATACTCTACTAAATGAAAAGTAAACAGGAAAAATGACAGTCTATTTCAGAACATTGTGACATGTGTGAATATGAAAGGGTAAGTTTGTCTTCATGGTCCCTAATGGCAGCTGCTTAGCCTTGAATGCCACTTCCTTTTCTTATAGTTTTCTCTACAAAATAACTGTTATTGGGGAAAATGGACGGTGGAGCACACAAGAGGGTACAGTCAAAGCTAGGAGATGACTTTGAGCGGGCCTGCTACATTTGCAGCAGGTCACCAAGAATCCATCCCATCTTCTACCTTAAAAGCAAAGGCTGACTAATACTAGTTTATGGAAAACAGGCAATTATACAAAATACAGAGTTGGAACCAAAATTTGTTTTTAAAATGTGAGTTTTTTAACACTTGAAGTATTTCATTCTTAACTCTCAATTATTTAATTACAAAAAAAAATCCAAGTTTCAGGAAAACATACTTAATCCTAACATAAAATTCATGTCACTTATCACAAAGACAGTCAAATGTATAAAGGAGAACCAAACAGCAGCAGTATTTACAAATTTAAACTACATGAGATGTTGTGAACAATCTTTTGTTAATAAACAGCACATTACATACTTTTACATACTACATTTCAAAAATGCATCTGTGAATAATGTGATAAAGCGCATAGTGTTGAAGACTTTAAATTAAATTCAAGGTCATCATGTTGAAGACCTGAAATTAAATTCAAGGTCGTAGTGATGAAAAATTTAAAGTCAAGGTCTTAGCGATAAAGACTTTAAATTCAAAGACAGATTGTCTAAGGACAAACCACTAGCGTTCAAGTTGTTTAGTCAATTAGTTCTCTGTGAGTACAAAATATTAGGAATCACTAAATGGATTAGCCTAATTACAAATTTTGATCATTTCTAAATAACTCACAACTGCAAGTCTTTTCACAGAATCAGTCACATAGTTTCTCTCTATCCTTGTGCAGGTATTTTAAATCCTTATTCAAAACAATTCCCTCTCCATTTCTAGATTTTTGTAAGTATAAAATATTTGAAAACAAAGGTATGTCTGTTCCTTAGCTAGAGAACTATTCTTCCATTGACTCCTGGAAGAGAAAAAAAAGATTCCCATTTCCTCCTCTACCTCAAAAACACAAAGCAAACCCAAACAATCCAATTCCTAATGTAGTGTCACATAGAACCCAGGGCCTGAAACAATATTTCATGCTAGTCTTCCTGCTATATGCAGAGAACAATTTAGTTATTTACATTATTGAGAAATCTATTTAACAGCCTAGAATCATCCTAGTGCTTCCATCAGCAGAAGGCTTGCTAAAAAAGGCGTGAGCAACGGCGTCTGCGAATGGGAACGTCAAAGACTCTCCTCCGTCTCTCCTCTTCATCATCTTCATCTGATTCATCCATATCTGCTGAATCATCATCCTCGTCTTCCTCTTCTTCCTCCTCCTCCTCTTCTTCCATCTCTTCATATTCATCAGGACCCATTTCCTTTAAAGAGAAAACAATCTTTTGATAAGAAGAGCATCTATCAGTTTTTTACAGTTATTTCATGTAAATTCTCATTTATCTAGAATTCAAACAACCAGACATGCCAAATATGAATTTCCATAGACTTGAACAGTGCATTCTCACAACACACATGTTGATGCAACATTCTGGAGTGGATTTTGTATCTTGTGTTAAATAATGTTCAGTGTGGTTTTTGTTGTTGTTGTTTAATGGAAGATCTTCTTTTTAAAAAAATTGTTTATTTTAAAGTTTTCTTAGAGACAAGTTCTTGCTATGTTGCCTAGGCTAGCCTCGAACTCCTGGGCTCAACCAATTCTCCCACCTCAGTCTCCCGAGTAGCTGGGACTACAGGTGCATGCGACGCAGCCCGGCTCAGTATGGTTTTAATGGATGAATATTTCACTAAGCCAGTACTTATTTTTTATACAGTAGTTGGTAATTCATAGAAGGTAGCAAACAGACCACTTGTAAAATCCAAGATACAGTTTTACTGAACTTATATTCATACACTGAATAATAATTATTAATCTATATACTTACAGAAAAGAGGATATGAAAATATTAATCAAGTATGACCTCTACTGGTAACTTTTATGCACTGTCAACAAGAACTCTAAGATTTTTATTGAGCTCCTACTATAAAGACACATCATTTCAATTCAACCATCAGTAGCCTCTACTTTTTAAAAAAATACTTTTATTTTTTTAGTGGCTTGAAACAACAACAGTCATTATTGTCTCTCATGGTTCATGTGGGTTGGTATTTGGGAGGTATTCAGTGGAGTGGTTCTGGGTTGGGGTCTCCCGTGACGTTGCAGTCAGATGGTAGATGGAACTGCAGTCATTTCACAAGCATCTTCATTCACATCTCTGGTACCCGCGCGTGATGATCCAAATATCTGGAATCTGAAACAGCTGGGGCTCCTGGGTGCCTCCCTCTATCTCTATGTGATGTCTCTACATGGTCTCTTCTGCATGACAGCTTCATGGTAGCTGGACTTCTTACATGGTGGCTCAGGGTGTCAAAGACACATATCCCAGGAGAGAGAGAGAGAACTCTAGGCTGAAGGAATATTACCTTTTTCTAACTCAGAAATCACAGTGTCACTTTGCCAATTCATTTTAAGTACATACCTAAGATCAACCCACACTGGAGGGAAATGCCAGCCTCTATTTTTAAATTACCTTGTTGGAGGCTCTCAGATTAGGACAGTAGTGATGTTGAACGTGCATCTGAATATCTCTTGGAAATGTCAATTCTGCCCATGCAATGTCTCTACTCAAGCCATGACTTAACTCTGCTGTCAATGTTCTCTCTCACACATTTGAAGACACAATGGGAGGAGTTGCTACATTGAACAGAATTCTGAACAGTAAGGACCTACTGGGTACTCTGGAAAGTAAGGGGCAACCTGGGGCATGATGTTAGCCAGAGTCCTTCCACCAAGGCTTTTACGGTGTTGCGTGATCCAGCACCCCATTATCCCTCTGATCTCATCTCCAGTCCCTCTCCCCATAGTTCACTGCACTCCAGCTACACTGGCCTCCTTGGGTCAAGCACACTAAGCACATTATTGTTTCAGAACCTCCACATGTGCTGCTCCTTTGCTTCAAACACTCATCTCCCACATATCCACCTAATTCCCTCTGCTCCTTTCACGTTTCAGCTTAAATGTCACTGAGGTCTCTCCTGACCCATCTTTATATTAGAACAACCTAACAATACATTCTTTATCTCTTTTACTCTGCTGTTTCTCCATAGCACTTATTACTACTTAACATAAGGACACAGAATGTTTATTGTTACAGTTTGTCTCTTTGAATTGGAATGTAAATTTCAAGGCAGGGAATTTGATTATATTGTTTATCACAGTACTCAATAAATAGCTGTTGTACAAGCAAATGAATTAATGTAGGAGAAAGGAAATGTGTCACTTAGGATTTATTATAACACTAACAATAACAGAGAAAATATACACTGATATGACTTATAAGACATTACATTCTTTTTATCTTTGGATTTATTTGTTTAATCTAAGGAATGAAGACTTTGAAATTCAGTTAGGAGGTCCAAAAGGTGGGAAAGGGAAAGGCTTGGGAAGTTCTAAAACATGTTATCTGAGTACTATGATTATTAATTATCTTAATGAAGAAGAAAACAGAAAAACTGTTAAAGAACTCAATGTGGCTAAGGAGAGAGATTGCTCAGAAAAAAAGTGTACACACACACACAGCAGATGCAGAAAGGAACACAGAGAGAGTGGAAATGTGCAGCCGGAGCCTCTAAAAGTGCCCCCAACAAGCCAAACACGCATACCACCTAGACCAAGAAAAGACATAAGACCAACTAATGCATATTTCCAAGAGGCATTTCAAGGAGAAAGAAAAAGGAAGTGTTAAGCCTACGAATTAATCAGACTGGTAGAGGATGAAAAAACAGAACAATTCTCCATATCAGGAAACTAATATTCAAGCAGGAAAGGTCAACAAATACAACCCCCATGGCTTTTTTAATGTCGGTAAGAAGTAAGTCCAGAATTCTCATTTTATTTCTCATCCTTGAGAGAAAACATTTTCCACAAGGTAGGTCAAGATTTTATATGTTTATTTGTGGTTAGAAGGAAACGAAAACTAATAAGAAAGAACATAGTTAAGGGAGAGCTGAACATGAAATGGGTTTATTATTGTCATTTAAAAAGGAACTAATAAGTAAATCTTGTAAAACCTTCTCAGTTTTAATTTCTGATATGGTAAGTGTTAATACAATCAACACAAGCAAGAATTCTTCGGAGTCCTCAATAAGTTTTTAGAGTTTCAGGGGGTCATGAGACTGAAAGCTGACAACCACTGTCCTTAAATAAAGACTACTTTACACCCACCCTAACAAACATTAAAAACAAACAAGATGCCAAAGGATCAAGTTGACCCAATAGTAACTCAACTGCCTACCAAAACAAACCTCAATGCTCTTTAAACTTTAGGACAAGGAATATTATCAGCAATAAAGATGGAGATTTCATAATGATGAAAGAATTATGTCATTAAAAATACATCATAATCCTTAGCATATTTGCATATAATTATACAGCTTCAAAATACATGAAGCAAACCTGATAGGCCTAAAAAGAGAAACAAAAAACTATAATTATATTTGGAGATTTCAACAATCATCTCTCACTTGTTGATAGAACAAAGACCAAAAAAAAAAAAAAATCAACAAGTATACAGAAGACTTGAAAAACACTGTCAACCAATTTGACCTATCATTTGTAGAATAATATTCCCCAAAATAGCAGAATGTACATTATTTTCAAATATACAAGGATCACTTACCAAGATAAACCATAATTTTGGGCCATAAAACATTTAGGATTGAAAATACAGAGCAAATTCTCCAACCACAATAAATTTAAAAAATCAATAGTCAAAAGATAACTGAAAACTCCCCAAATGTTTGAAAATTAACACATTTCTAGAAAAGTCATAGATCAAAATTAAATTACAAGGGAAATCTAACACTATTTTGAACTACATGTTCATGAAAACACATCACAACTTGTGAAATGCAGCTAAAACAGTGCTTGGAGAGAAAAAAGGTCTAAAATTACTAATATAAACTTCTACCTTAAAAAAGCTAGAAGAAAAGCAAATTAAACTCAAAGTAAAAGGAAAGAAATAAAGATAACTGCAGAAATCAATGCAAAGAAAATAAGCAAATAGAGAAAATTAGTAAAACCAAAAGTTGCTCCTTTAAATGATCAATAAAAATTATAAACCCCTAGCTAAAGCAATGAACAAAAGATATAAATTAACAATATTAAGAACAAAAGAGGACATGTGATTATGGCTTTTGTAGCCATTAAAAGGATATCAAGGGAATACTGTCAATAACTTTATACCAATAAATTCAACATTTAGATGGAATGGACAAATTCCTTGAAAGGCACAAATTACCAAAACTGAAACAAGAAGAAATAGAAAATATGAATATTAAAGAAATTAAATTCAAATTTCAAAATTTTTCCACAAACAGAACTCTAGCCCCTGATAACTTCACTGATGAATCATATCAAACATGTAAGGATAAGATTATTCCAAACTCATACAGATACTGGGCCAGTCAAAAAAGGAATTCTGTTATCCTAAGTAGCAAATTTCCAGTACTGGAAATACAGTTTCTGGCATTCCTCCACTGGGAAGAAAGCTAAATCTTCACTTCCAAACGCACACTGTAGATTCTTTTCACTAGATATGCCACACAGGTAATGGCCCAAAGTCTCATTATCAGCCTTCTCTTTCCAAACTGGAGTTGAAAATGTGTCAGCTCTGGGTCAGATTAATATCATGTCCATCTTCCCAAATTTATACCCATCCATCAGGGTCATTCCAGAAGCTAGAGGGTGTTTTCCAAAGATTCAACACCTACAACTCAATTGCACTCTGGGTATATAATTCATATTTTATCCCCATTGTATAACTGGAGCTTCATAATTTTCTTTAATCATGTTATAGTCTCTAAGATTGGGGTTACTGTTACCCTTGTCATAAGGTAACCCTAAAAACAAGATTTTAAAAATATACCTAGTTGACTTAAGAAATGATCCCAGAGAGACTGCCAAAAGTATACATCTACACATTAAATTTTCTTTATAACGATCTTTTTGGAATATTTGTTTATTTGACATTAAATTGGAAGTTTGAGCAAAAACACTGTAAGAAGTTGTTTTCCCAGTCTTAAAGCTGATTCTAACTGGTCTAATGTGGTATTTCTCCTAATCTAAAACATTTAGGCCACTGAACAGTGAAAAAGAAGTTGAATCTTTAAAACAGATAGCAGAAATTCTCTGGTTAGAGACTATGGAGCCTCGTTTACTTGTCCATTTCTCTCAATAAATTCACATGACCCCCAAGATATTTCCTCAAAATCTCTACGGTTCTCTGGAATGCAATTTATAAACTTAACTACTTGCCTGCCTTATCTGCAGTGTTAACCCTACAAAGTCACGTAAATCAGCACTAGAGGAAAATTTAACTTACCAATCGGGCTATAGACACCCTGAATGTTGGACATGCCATATGGAATCGGGGAATGGCAACATTAAAGATCTTGTCTTTAAAGTAAAGAAAGTGGAAGGTGTAATATCCTTCCATATATCCTGATGTTGTAGAGAATGTGGTACAGCTTGTGTATTCATATACCCGACCTGGGCTGATGATTGGAAATTCACCTGCAGGGAAAACAGTAACAATAAACCAAAGTATAAAATTCATTTATTACAATAAATAAGGTATGGTCTCCATGGCATTATGTAAACTACATAATAGTAAATGCACAGTTAGAAAAAAAAATTCCAAAAGAAAATGTAACAAAATGTTAACAGTGATAGGACAATGAGTAGGTATTTTATTCCTCTTCACCGTTTTTTTTTTTTTGAGATAGAGTCTTGCTCTGTTGCCCAGGCTGGAGTGCAGTGGCATGATCTCAGCTCACTACAAACTCCACCTCCCAGGTTCAAGCGATTCTCCTGCCTCAGCCTCCCAAGTAGCTGGGATTACAAGTGCCTGCCACCATGCCCGGCTAATCTTTGTATTTTTAGTAGAGGCAGGGTTTTGCCACATTGGCCAGACTGGTCTCAAACTCCCGACCTCAGGTGATTCGCCCACCTTGGCCTCCCAAAGTTCTGGGATATCAGGTATGAGCCACTGCGCCTAGCCCTCTCAACATTTTTTTAATGTATTCCTCAAATTCCCTACAATGTAGAAGGTGGGAAGTATCTAGTGAAAAACAAACAAACAAACAAAACAGAACAGGCATGTTTCTTTTTCAAAAAGCTTTGAGGCATTGAAGACACAACCTTTAAAATATGAGTAATAAAAAGCATTACAGACACCAGTTCAAACAGAGATAAGGGTAATCTAAATATTTTTAAAGTAGCAAGAAACAGAAACCTAAAACTGTGAAGATGCATCCTAAGCATTCAGATCAGACAAAATGGCACTCACAAGGGAGAGTCCTTACACCACTGGACCAAATGGCAGAAAAAGAACTGTGGTTTAATAAAGCCTCTCTCTTAGCACTAGATCCAGAAAAAATTCCTGGACTCAAGCCCAGGAAAAAAAATTTGTTAAGTAAACATGTAGATCTATTCATAGCAATGAATTTAGAAAACCTTAAACTGGATTCTGCATATGCTTAGGACTGATAACATAAGTACATAGCATAAATATGTTATTTTTCTGGAGCACATATTCAAACCTGAAGAATCTGAGGGCTCAGAGACTTCAGATAATCATAATCTTTAAGAAAGCCAAATGACAATGGTAACCACAACTAAAGTGACTGAAATCCACAAACAATAAAAATTCATGCCATTAATTTTAACATTTCCCCCCAAACTTCAAAAAAACATGACCAATACAAAATTTATTTCCCCTTTCTGCCCTATGTGTTCTAACCCACAAAATATAATGAATAATGAACCAGTTAAAAAAAAAAAAATGAAGGAAAAGCAAAGAACCCCAGGTGATCCACAGAAAGGGAAATCAATCCCTGAATAATTGAGTTTGCTATTATTTTAGAAAAGTTAATGCTTAAGGGATTAAATTAATAGGATAATGACCTTTTATGTTATATTTATGATGCAAAGTCTAAGACTTCTTCTAAGGAATTAAGGTATAAACCTAAATCTTGGGTTCCATACCAACTACTCCAGGTCCTTGAACTTCTTCCACGTCACCCTTAGCATTTGTTATTCTCCAATAGCGACTGTCCAACTGACAGGCCTTCTCAGGAAGTGCATCCTTTGACATTTCAATCCTAGAGAAGGGAATGGGGTGGTAGAGACAAAAATCTGGCTTGTTTCTTTGGTTTAAGAGATACACTATTCAGGCTAACACTATGAAGAAAAATTTCCAAAAAATTAAGAAACCCAACCCAAAGTCCATGTTAGTCATCTATTTTTCTAAGTTCTCAAAGATACTGGCTTCATTAGCTGGATCCCCCTACAAAAATGCTTTCACTCAACTTACGCATTTGACTGTCAGTATAATATGCAACATAATGGTAACAACAATCTTTTGCTGTTCAAATAAAGATCAATGTGGCAAATGCTTTCTAGAAGATAGTGCCATGAAAAACTTCTGGAGAACTGAAAGTCTCTCTTTAACTGCATAAGGCTATACAACCCATTTCCCTTTTTTCCATTAGTTTCTAGAATGTTTAAGGCAAAACGGCACCAGTTACTGGGATTACACTTTTTTTTTCTGAGACAGGGTCTTACTCTGCCACCCAGGCTGGAGTGCAGTGGCGTAATCTTGGGCTCACTGCTGCCTTGACCTCCTAGGCTGAAGCCATCCTTCTGCCTCAGCCCCTCCAGTAGCTGAGACTACAGGCATGTGCCACTAAAAATTTTTTTTTGAAATTTTTGTACAGACAAGGTCTCACTATGTTGTCCAGGCTGGTCTTGAACTCCTAAGCTCAAACAATCCTCCCACCTTGGCCTCCCAAAGTGCTGTGACTATAGGCATGGGCCACCACGTCCAGCCTGGGATTACACTTTGACTCTGTTTCCCAATGCTATCGCTTTCCCCTTTCCCTAGGAATCTAGTGTCTCTTATTTTCACTCTGAGTATCCTATAAGTATGCGTTGATATGTTTATTTTGAGCACATCTCAATCCTAGGCAGGATCTAAAACAAGTAAAACAACAAATATCTATACATGTGTACTTGGATATAGCAAAGGTTGCATACAGTATCTAAATCCTAGGATGCTTCCAGGTAGTTATATTTTACTAAAATACTTCCAGTATGCATATATGCATGTATGTGTATTTTTAAATATACTTATATATAACATAAAACACATAAAAATATATTTTAAAACACAGTATTCTTAATCCCTTAGGGCAATGAGTTATCTTTGTGTCATAGCACAGAATACTTCTAACTAATATAAATTTAAAATATTTGCTTCTTATTTAATAAAATTCAATGTCTAACACTATGTCTGGCATCCATGAAGCATGCAATACACATTTATTAGATTTTTTAAATTGAATATAAATAGGCCACATGAAATTTAAAATGCCTGACTTTATCATGGCAATTTGACAGCTTCTAGAATACATTACAACTTAGAGCTTTAATGACGACTACAACTTAGTGGTCCATTTCCACAGTACCTGGCACAATACTTAATACCCAGTATATTTTCAAGAAATAACTTAAATAACTTAGAGGTTAATATGAAGTCCAAGTCCTCCATGACCACTATCTTATAGAAAATGTATCCACCTTCCTCCCAACTTCAGCAAGTTCTTTCAAAATGTGTCTTACATATCATGTCAAATGGGACAATAGCAACATGTCCATTGGATATATCCCACCATTAACTGAAAGGCGACCCCATTTAAAATTCTCACCTGATTCGGTATGTGAAGAAATAGTGGGGTGGATGTACAGAGCTAAGTTCTGGCAGAAACGATGTGGAAACGGAAACAGTAATATCCCCAGTTGTTGCTACACACTCTGGATCGTGAACATATCTAGGTAATTTAAAAATTAAACATTTAAAAATCTACAGGATTTAAAAGATACAATGCAAAATAGGTTATACTTTAGGACGAAAAATTTAAATCATATTTCAGACTCAGAAAAGTTCAATAATATTTGGGTATAGTCCTATTAAACTTAGAAGGAAACTAGAAACAAACTATAAAACCTTGGTAACTCTGGATCAGTAATGATAGCAATCAAGGTTCAATGATCAGTGGTTCCAATAATGGACTGGTAATTAGCTTGGAAACAAAAATGAGCTTATTTAGTTTCCATGGCTAAGGAAACTTTTGGGACATCTGAAAACCCAGCTACATGATGGCTAATGCTAAATGATGGCTCTGACAATAAAAATGTGCAAGTATGCTGTTCCCAGAAGCCTCTAATGTATAATCAGTCTATCATTTCTGCCAACCAGGCTATTATGAACCAGTATTACCTCCAATACTATCTAAAATACCTGAATGTTCCATTTAGAGATAATAAATATTTGCCAGGAATTAACAGTTACTGACTTGCTATTCATAATAAATCTATCAGTTGCCAAATAACTTTTTGGTTTTTTTTCAAAAATAAATTATATAGATACTATTAACCCATAGTTTCTAAATCAAAATCACCTTTTTCTTGATTCTTCTGGATAGGAAAAATACCAGTTGTCTAAGCATTTAGATGTTTGGCTTTAAGGTGAGAATAAAATAGTGAGATTGAAGACAATCGTCTATTATCAATCTCAATAGAGAGGTTTTATTATCAACCTTCTTGGGAAACTTCATTTCATGATCTGTGAGTTATCATTTTTTTCTGATTTACAATCATTTCAATCCAAAAAGACCTAAATAAAATACCTGAAAATTTGGTCTCTGATGATAGGGAAGCCACCTGATACAACATTTTTGACATAAGAGGTAAACCAGTCAGTAAAAGTAGCACCTATAAACCAGGAAAGGGAGAAAAAAGAAAAGAACAAATAGTTCTATAAAATCTATATAGGAAACAATTGTAATTCCTCTATACTTTACAGTATGATACCAAAACTAGAAACATTTATAGATATAATTGTGCTAATCATTTATAAGGTCAATTTCTATTCTCAATTCTATCTACCTTATTTCCTTGGGATTCTCCCCCTTTTCATCCCCCCAACTATTGTTAGAGAATCCACCAATGACCTTCAAACTATTTTTTTACACTTACAATTAATCAAATTTTAAACTTTAATTCATTCTGGTACAAGAATGAAAAGCCTTCTTTCTGTAATTTATTGAACATATAGAACAAAGAAGATACAGCTATGTCTAGGAAGAAACTACAAGAAAAATATCAGTACCTATTCTCAGACTTCCCTTGTCCAGGTACATCCTGACTCAAGCACAAAATTTTGGCAGAAGCCAGGCTCAGTCTGGACATCTACCAGGGACATGGCATTGTGGAGTTCTGTGCATCGAGCCAATCCCAAAGTGGTCTAGTTGCACACTACTATAGATTTAATTGCACAGCGGTCCTCCATATTCTTAGTGACCAGCTCAAAGCAGAAAAGGATTACTGGAACAGTCTACTCCAGACCATATATCAGTGATCTAATGATTGGATTATAACAAGTATTTACATGAATTAATAATGTTTACCCCTTCTAGGTAATATTTAAGATAAGTCTGTCAGACCCCCCATTATTTACTGTTAATACATCTCAGTGCCTAGAACATATTAGTCCTTTAATTAATTTTGTTCAATGAATTTCTTTGTAATCTGGTTTCAATTAAGCCAGTTTCTACACTCTGTCACACTGAATGTCATATGCTAAATGTATAGTGTTTACTAATTATTCTATTTAGGGAATGACAGAAGATACATTTTAGCTTATATCTAAGGGTACAAGGCTTTAAGCTTTTAAAAGGCATCAACTGAGAGAAGGTAAACTATAATAGTTGGCTCTTTTCTCAATATCTATTAATGACCCATTCTGACCCATTATTTATTAAACACTTGTATTCAAGGTTCATCGATCATGTACCTACTTTGAGTAAGATATTAAGAAACTATATAATGTCATTAAAATTCATAGAGGGTACAATTTTACATTTTTAGCACTAGTAATTTCTCTGAATTTTAAAAAATCATATATATGTATATTTTGTGGAAAAAACGTTATATAAGTAGAGAAATATTTGTGGTTTGCATAAAAAGATTGGCATGGTGTATTTTAATCTACCTTATTTTATTACAATACATACCAGAGTGTATTCTTTAAGATGAGGACAGACTAGGCTGCACTCACTACTAAACTTATCTGACAGATTCCAGTTTTCTTAAATATCTATTAGTAGCACACTGAACACCAGTTTATGCCATTTTGTGTGTTACCAGTCTAAACAAACTTAGTTGAATCAAGATGCAATTTATATGTTCTAAGGTAATTTACCTTTTAAAGTGAGCCCATGTGTTGGGGTCTCTCTGATGGTTCTGGAGCTTTTTCAAGGCAGCTGAAAGGAAGCTCCTTTTTCGTCCTTTCTCCCCGCATTAACTTCCCACCTCATCTCTTCTCAGTGTCTCTCAATCTTTTGCTTTGCTCTCCCATTTTAAGAGAAATCCCAGCTACTGGCATAGTATTATTACACCTTAGTACTCTGCTGGAGTGGTGAAGTTCTACACACCATGTCAGATGAGCACCAAACTAAGAGTAAGGAACTCACAGAGGCTGGGCAACAGCTTACCTTAGCACTTGGCTGCCTTTCATTTATAAACTGAGTAGCACTGCTGGACCACAGCCACTATGGTAATCTCTGAAAGTGTGTGCTATGCAAAAATACCAACGAGGGCAATGAGCACAGGAAACAGCTCCAGAGGGTGCTTAACTTAGAAATCAGAGACCACATGAGTCAGAGTGAGATGAAAGCCAGGACCTACATTTAAAAGCTTTTTATAACTTACTAGGTAAGGGTGAGATCTTGATATTGTGAAGTACACCAGGAATGTGGATGTGTATGGAACAAATAGAGTTCAAAGTTCCAATGAGATACATTGTTCATTGTTCAAAGTTCCAATGAGAATACAGAATTGAATACAAATGCCTTAGTCTATAAGGACCCTTTACTATTCATATATGGAGATGTTTAATATATGTCACTCAGTACCCTTAAAAAGCAGAATGGACAGTCTGGAAGCTTCTCTAGATGACCAAAATCCAAACAAGACAAGACGGGATAAATAGCAAAGGGGTGAGCTGTAGTTACTTACAAATTGAAGGGTTCTCAAAACCTATAAGAAATACTCTTTTAAGGCCAAGAAAAACTAGTTGTACCAAGGAGTTTATGAGGTATAGAGTTTATATTAGTCCCTAAACACTGTTGCTTTAGAGGTCTCTAACGTGACTTAGTATCTTAATGCTACTGCATTAGCACCAAAAGAGAAAAAGTTTAAAGTTGCTTTACATATCTGTATCTCTAATTATACATGAATATAATGAATAATACATGTGTGTTAAGAAAAATATATACACATTCACAGCAATTCTGCGTATTTCATTGCCTTATAGAAGGGTCCTCAGAGCATGAGATTGTATATAGATTGGCTTTTTTCAAAATTAAAAATATTCAATACAAAAACTGTTCTAATGAAAACCTAGATGCAGTACTTTATAAACCAGCAAACCTTAAAGAAATCCAAGTATGAAATTGCCAGCTGCTAAAGTAGCTGAAAAAGTTTTTACTAATTTAATTTTTTTATGATATCCAGGAAGAAGAAGCGGGAAAAAAAGACTTTTTTCTTTCCTACCTATAATAAACATGTCAATAGCAGCTGGATTTCGAGCCATTTGGTCCTAGGTGAGAAAAAGAATACAATCAATAAAAACATATTTTACTTAATTTTTCATTGTTCATTAGCTGTATCTTTCCCTGGAGATGAGGCAAAACAGATAAAAATAAAGTTGAGATAAGAAGATATATGGCTTGTTATCCTAGAAGAAAGGGTTCTGAATCAGAGTCAAGAGATTTGAACAATTCTAGGTTACTCACTCTTCTCAGTAAATGGAGAGACCAAGCTACCATCCTACAACCTTACAGAGACATCAAGTCAAAAATGAGATAAAACGTATGAAAATGCTTTAAAAAGTTAAAAGCTGGCTGGGCGCGGTGGCTCAAGCCTGTAATCCCAGCACTTTGGGAGGCCGAGACGGGCGGATCACGAGGTTAGGAGATCGAGACCATCCTGGCTAACACGGTGAAACCCCGTCTCTACTAAAAAATACAAAAAATTAGCTGGGCATGGTGGCGGGTGCCTGTAGTCCCAGCTACTCGGGAGGCTGAGGCAGGAGAATGGTGTAAACCCGGGAGGCGGAGCTTGCAGTGAGCTGAGATCCGGCCACTGCACTCCAGCCTGGGCGACAGAGCAAGACTCCGTCTCAAAAAAAAAAAAAAAAAAAAAAAAAAGAGTTAAAAAGAAATATAAAAGCTCTTTAAACTTCACTTAAAATGTTAGAAAAAAAAAAAAAAAAAAAAGTTAAAAGCTATAAAAGCTCTTTAAATATGTAAAATGTTAGGTAGAGTCACAAGTCTCAACTACGAAAAGCATTTTATTTTTATTTTTATTTTTTGAGAGGGAGCCTTGCTCTGTTGCCCAGGCTGGAATGCAGTGGCTTGATCTCAGCTCACTATGATCTCCACCTCCTAGATTCAAGCAATTCTTCTGCCTCAGCCTCCCCAAGTAGCTGGGACTACAGGCGTGCACCACCACACCTGGTTAATTTTTGTGTTTTTTTTTTTTCAGTAGAGATGGGGTTTTGCCATGATGGCTAGGCTGGTCTCAAACTTCTGATCTCAGTTGATCCACCCGCCTCAGCCTCCCAAAGTGCTGAGATGACAGGTGTGAGCCACCACACCCAGCCAAAATTTAGAATTTTATATTTTAAATTCCTTTTTTAAGTAAAAAGTTTGGCCCGGCGCGGTGGCTCAAGCCTGTAATCCCAGCACTTTGGGAGGCCGAGACGGGCGGATCACAACGTCAGGAGATCGAGACCATCCTGGCTAACACGGTGAAACCCCGTCTCTACTAAAAAATACAAAAAAACTAGCTGGGCGAGGTGGCGGGCGCCTGTAGTCCCGGCTACTTGGGAGGCTGAGGCAGGAGAATGACATAAACCCGGGAGACGGAGCTTGCAGTGAGCTGAGATCCGGCCACTGCACTCCAGCCTGGGCGACAGAGTGAGACTCTGTCTCAAAGAAAAAAAAAAAAAAACAAGTAAAAAGTTCATATCAAGGCAAAAATGAAGGCAGAGGGTGTGTAACTGAGAAATTACTGAGAACTTAAAATTATTTTTTCATTTTTATTAAATGAAACCAATACCATAATATTTTCTGTGGTTACATTAAAATAATAAAAGTCTCCTAAAAAAGAACATTATCAAATACTCACTGAAGAAAGTTTTAAAAGTTTCTACTGCACTCAAAGCATGAATCAAAGGATGTTCAAAGGCTAAATTTTTGGCAAGTCTGAAACATATATTACAATTAATTACTTCAACAAAAAGCTCCTCATTAGTTTTCCTTAATATACCTTAAGACAAATCATAGCTTTTCCTCTGTATATACACTAGTTTTTTATGTCCAACTGTCAAGTTTTCTCTTGGGTTCCATCCCATTATGTCAGAATATTAACTCTAGTTAGAGAGGTCTATGACTAAAATGTGTAATATTCTATACCCATTCTACAATCCTGAAAATACCTAATGCATGCATTTATACAACCATCAGAACACATCTTAATGCCATATTTAAACACACGTTCTACTTACTGGACATTGGTAGAAAACTTCATTTTTGTTTCGGCCCTCTGCAGCTTCCACTGCTATGTACTGACTCAAACCAGTATGTATGCAAAAAGTTAAAGGCAGACAGTATTTCAATCCCTGTCTCTGCTGGAATCCTCCGGCAGCTGTATCGACGTCTAACAAATCTTCAGAACGATAGTGATTAGACAGTGCCATGCTTCCCAATAACCTGAGGAGCATACAGACTCAAACATGTCATACCCGGCAGTGCCAAACAGCTGTGCTTCATCTTTCTGATGAATAATAATTCCCCACTCACAACTTTATGAGTACTAATTAACATGACAATTCCAAATCAGGAATACCCAAAGCACTATAATTTCTAAATATTTAATTCAAACCCTTTTGATTGGAAAAAAGATTTGATTTAAATTAAAAATTAATTAAATGTCTAAATGGCAATGTTTTAAAAAAAAATACGGTTTTATATTTTCAAGAATCCATCTTGCCATGATATATTGATTTGCTGGTGTTCTGCTAGCCATGTATGTATGGCCAATTTAATGTTTAAAGAAGTAAATTATCTGATGCGTTTATCTTGATACAACCTTTAGCTTACCCTGTGCAACCAGAGAGTATAAATGTAAAGCAGCTTAAACCTTGTCCAAATTTTCACAAAGTTGGATGCCTGGGGTATAAATTAATCTCATTAAATATACATATAGCAATACAGGTATCAAGGTATTCCTTGATGAGATTCCTAAGTCTCAATGCTTGAGCCATGTATAGATAAAATCCCTGGGTTGCAATTTATGACCTATTTGTCATGTCAGTTCTGGGCAGCTCTTCTAACAAAGTTCTCTCCTGTTTGCTCTTAAAATCTGACAATTTTTCAACTTTGTCAAGTTTCAGTTCAATAGGAAAAAATAGCCAATAATTTAGGGTCATCTAGTCCTAACTGACTTCTGTTTCTGACCCATGCCCAATATTTGATTTCTTTCTTTTTCTGAGACAGGATCTCGTTCTGTCACCCAGGCTGGAGTGCAGTGGCTTACTGCAGCCCCAAACTCCTGAGCTCAAGAGATCCACAGGTCCCGAGTAGCTGGAGCTATAGGTGCATGCTACCAAGTCTGGCTAATTGTTTTTAACTTAATTTTTTATAGAGACAGGCAGGATCTTGCTATGCTACCCAGGTTGGTCTTGAACTCCTGATTTCAGCAGTCCTCCTGACTTGGCATCCCAAACAGCTAGTTTCAGGTGTGAGCCACCGTGCCCTGCCCCCAATATTTGATTTCTGAAGACTACCTTGTAATCTCAATGTGATTACCTCCAGGATTCCCTATACTCATTCAACCCTCATCTGAAATTGTAACAGAGTCTCACATGATTCTTCACATACAAAGGAACACCAGGTTCCAATAAGAACAATGCAAAGTTCTCCTTAAATTCTTATTAGCATTTCACAAGCACAATGTCTCTGAAATAGCTGACTTTCATAAAAGTGTAAAAGCAGTAGGCCCATTCAAAGCACAGCCTTCTAAAACTATGGGTGAATTCTGATAACTACTGCATGGTCCACTTTTACCCAAGAGTTCCACCATGTAAGGTGGATATGGTTGGCTGGAAGGCTGAGGCAGGAGGGTCCCTTGAGCCTAGGAGTTCAAGACCAGCCTGGGCAATATAGTAAGACCCCATCTCTAAAAATAATAATAATAAATAAAAATTTAAAATAATAAAAGTTTATAAAACAAATCTTAAAAAAATAAATAAATAAATAAAGCTGAGCCAGGCACAGTGGTATATGCCTGTAGCCCCAGCTACTTGGGAGGCAGAGGCAGGAAGATTGCTTGAGCCCAGGAGTTAAATACCACTAGCCTGGCAATATAGCAAGACACCATCTCTTGGGGAAAAAAAAGGCTGGATGCATGGGTTGCATCTGTAATCCCAGCACTTTAGGAGGCTGAGGCAGGAATTGCTTGAGCCCAGGAATTCAAGACCAGCCTGGGCAACATGGCAAGACCCCATCTCTACAAAAAGTACAAAAAAGTAGCCAGGTGTGATGGTGCACCTGTACTTCTAGTTACTGAGACAGCTGAGGTGGCAGGATCGCTTGAGCCAGGCGAGTCAAGGCTGCAGTGAGCTGAGGTCACGCCACTATACTCCAGGCTGGGAGACAGAGCAAGACCCTGTCTCAAAAAAAAAAAAAAAAAAAAAAAAAGGCTCCACAATAAATACTTCATTTTTTAGAATTAAATTTTAAACAGGCCATTCAACTACAGACGGTGTTTAATATGACAAAACAATTTTCTTTAGTGTAGTGTATCCAGCTCTGGACAAATGATTGCTCTTTACATGTAGAGTAGGTAGAATTTGCATCAAGCTCCCAAAATAATTTGCCTGGCCTGTAATAAGATACACATTTCAAGAGTTCTGAAGAATTTGGTTAAAATATATCGCACATACCTTTACTGTATGTCCCATCTCCCATCCCATACCAGACTTCATTTTAACTATACAAATATATTGATAGAAACTGTGTTTTTATGAGATATATTTATTTTGGTAAAATCTAATTCAAGCTATAGGTTTTGTCTTATGGATTGCTATAAAGGAGAAAGAGGGAATTCCATGCATCTTTAATTTGTTAAGGGCAACTACAAATACAATTTATTTACTTTCATTCTAAAAAATAACTTGCATCATTAAAAATAACCAAAACATTGAATATCTTACCCAGGAACCACTAACTTCTGTCCATTGTGGATTCGGTATGAACATCGATAATCGTCAGGAAGCTTGCAGCCAATCTGCGCTTCCACAGCGTCAAGGTCTTCCTCTCGAGCACCCTCTATAAAGGCACAAAAAAGAGTGAATTGTGAAGAAACAATCTTAAATCTAAGAAGAAATGCAATCTATCTGCTAACTAATGAAACAATCTTGGAGTGAGTGAATTCTGTCCAAAATCTACAGCTGAAATAGAGGGAAATGAATTGAAACCTAATTTGAAGCACTGAGCAAGCAAATTTCTTAGTTTTCTCCCAACAGGGAAAACACTGGCACTTAGTAAAACATGGAAAGTGGGTACCAATGAGATCCACAATAATGTTTTCACATTATAACACAAACCTCTAAATTGCCTAAATCTAAAACATTCATACTGCCTTATTAAAAAAAAATAATAATAATAACAAAACCCCTGGAAGTTCTCTAAACTGATGTTACTTAAGAGTTTTAACATTGACTCTCAATGGGAAATATAGGACATAAGGTATGGGTTCATGTGTGGGGAGGCCATTAACTTGAACTCTATTTTGCATGTTTGTAAATTTGCCACATATTCGAGCTTTTGAGAAGTGGGAAATAATGACAAATACCAAGAGAAGAGATCGACATTCAGCAGCAGCCCACCAGGTTGTTGGACTAAACCTTTTGCTGAATATTGACAACAAAAAATTGGCTTGAAGACTTTTGAAGAATAACAAAGGCAGGGGAGAGGGGTCCAGGAGAAGAGGGAGACTGAGAGGTGAGCCAGGCATTGGAAGCCAACTTGTCTTTAGACAAGATAAAAATTGCTGTCAATTCTGAAAGGAAATATGAGGTTGAGTGGCCAAGAAGCTGAGCAAAGCTTTAGGCAGTACCACGAGGCTAGAGGGCAAAACAACAGAGTTTAGGGTACACAAAGGAGAGAGGGACCTGGTAAAACCCAAGGTTTTTTGGGCTAGGATCCTGACTGACATCCTAGGAAAAAGGATGAACTGAAAATAAGACTAGTCTTCATAAAGACTAAAGCCCAGCTTTCAATCATATCAATCCCTGATTGCATTACAGTGATCTGCCCATTGACTAGCTGCTAGCCAAAAGCAAAAGTAATCTCTAGAAGAAAATAACGTTACCCCAAATTTCAAATTATGTCTAGCAATAAATTAAAAACAACTAGGCCTATACAAAGACAAGATCTGACTAAAGAAAGAGAAAAAATAGAAAATAGAACCAAATCCATAATACATGGTTATTGGAGTTAGTAAACATGGACTTAAAAATAACCACAATTGATACATTCAATGAATTAAATGACAAGATCGAGTATTTCAGCAGAGAACTAGAAACTATAAAAATGAATCAAATGGAAATCTTAGAGCTGAAAAATGCAAAAACTAAAATAAGAATACACTGAAAGGGTTTAACAACAAATCACAGTTTCAAAGCTGAAGAGGGAATTATAAACTGGAAGCCAGGTCAGATGACAAAAAAGGATGGAAAAACACAAAAAGAGCCTAAGACACACGTGGGAGGACATGGCAGAAAGGTCTATGATACAAGCACTGGAATCCCAGAGGGAGAAGAAAAGCAGAATGAGGCAGAAGCAGTATTTGGAGATAACAGCAGAGAATTTTCCAAAATTGATGAAAATGTCAAACCATGATTCAGAAGCACCATAAACCCTATGGAGAAAAATTACAAACAAAATAGTTATCTAGATATATCTTGGAAAACTGCTAAAATCGAAGACAAAGAGAAATTTTAAAAGCAGTGTGGGGGATAAGGTGAGTGTACAATTCCCTTCAAAAGAAAAACAGTAAGACTGACAGCTAAATTCTCTACAGAAACAATAGAAGTTAGCTGGACTCAGTGGCTCATGCATGTAATCCCAGCACTTTGGGAGGCTGAGGTGGGAGGGTGGCTTGAGGCCAGGAGTTTGAGACCAGCCTGGACAACATAGCAAGACCCCCATCTTTAAAAAAAAAAAAAAGAAAGAAAGAAAAAAAAAAAACTTAAAAATTAGCCAGGAATGGTGTCACACCTGTAGTCCCAGCTACTCGGGAGACTGAGCTGGGAGGACTGCTTGAGCCCAGGAGTTGGAGGCTGCAATGGGCTATGATTGTGCCACTGCACTCCAGCCTGGGCAACAAAGCAAGACCCTGTCTTTAAAAAGAAAATAAACAATAGAAGTCAGGAGAATGATACCTTTAAAGTGATGAAGAAAAATCACTGCTGACCAAAACCCTATAACCAGTGAATATATCTTCAACAATGAAGATGAAATAAATACATGTTTAGATAAACAAAAGAAAAATTCAGCAGCAGCGGTCAGTTAAAAGAAATACCAAAAGGAATTCTTCAGGTGGAAGGAAAGTGATCCCAGATGGAAGCATGAAGAAGACATAGGAAGCGATAAAGGCCAATCAGAAAAGGTAAATATGAAGGTTAGTCTAAAAGAATATTGAATATGTAAAATAAGAATGTTTTCAGGGAAACTAAATATGTTAAAAATCAAAATCACAAAAACTATAAATCAAAAAGCAGGAGGGAGGTGATTGGAGTTAATGCATTATAAAGTTCTTTCATTGTCCAGGAAGTGGAAAAAATACTAATTTACATTAGACTTTAATAAGTCAAAGATGCAACGTTTTAATCTCTAATATAATCACTAAAAAAAGAAAGGAGAAAGGAATGGAATGAAACATAATTAAGAAGATTGCAAAAAAGGAACAGTGAACAGGTGGGACAAATAGAAAAACAAACAGAAACATGGTATATCTCAACTCAAACACATTAGTAAATCTATTAAATATGAATAGATTAAATAATGTAATGAAAAGACAAACTGACAGACCAGATAAAAAACAAAAAATTATATACAAGAGACACATCTTAAAGTAAATACAGAAAACAAAGCTAGAGTAGCTCTACTAAAATCACATGAAATGAGACTTCAAGGCAAACAACTTTATAAGAGCTAATGGAGGACTTCTATAATAACAAAAAGGTTAAATTCACTACACAGATGTTCCAATTCTAATTTTATGTACCTAATAAGAGCTTTAAAATATATTTTTAAATGACAACTAAAATGGGGAAAAGATATATCTACAATCACAGTGGCTGTAGTTTTCTCCTGCTGTAATATTAGCAGCTTAAAGCACTTATTATTTCACAGTTTCTGTAGGTCAGGAGTCTAGATATGACTCAACTGGATCCTCTGCTCAGGCCCCACAAGGCTGAAATTATGGCATCAACTGGGGCTGCTATCTCATCTTACGCATCGTATGCTTAGGATCCTCTTCCAAGCTCACTGGTTGTTGGCAGAATTCAATTCCTCAGGACTGAGGCCTTCAGCTCCTGGAGGTCACCCACCATTCTCTACCATGTGGCCCTCTCCATAATATGCCAGTTTGCTTATTCAAAGTCAATAGGAGAGGCACATTGAATCTGACTTCTGGAAGGGCCCAGTCCCTTTTAAGGGCTCATCTGATTAAGTGGGGCCCAGTCAGGATAATTTGCTTTTTGATTAATAATTAACTCAAATTCAACTAATTTGGGAACTTAATTACATATGCAAAATCCCTTCACCTTTTTCAAATAATATGACCTAATGGAAGAAAATCAGTTATTTTCATAGTACCACCTACACTCAAGGAGAGATCATTGTACCAGGCATGTACACCAGTGGGTGGGAATTTGGGGACTATCTCAGAATTCTGCCTACCACAGCAACAGATTTTATCATACTTCTCTCATTAACTAACAGAACAGGTAGACAAAATAAACAATTCAGTAAGAGTGTAGAAGATTTGAACAAGATTAACAAATGTTACCTAATTATATATACAGTATTGAACTCCATAATCACAGAAAATACATTATTTTTAAGTATACACAAAACATTTACCAAAATAGATCATATACTAGACCACAGAATAAGTTGTAACAAATTTTAAATGACTGAACTCACATAAAGTGTATCCTGTGATCACAGTGGAATTAAATTATAAATTATATTTAAAAGATTACTTTAAATGTCCAAAATATTTAGAAATTGAGTAATACACTTCTATATCATTCATGGGTTAAAGAAGAAATCAAAGAAATCAGAAAATACTTTGAACTGCATGGTAATGAAAATACAATGTATTAAAACTTATGGGACAAACTAATGTGCTCAGTGGGAAATTTAGAGCTCTAAATTCATTTGAAAAAATAAGAAAGCCTGAAAATCTATGATCTAAGCAATGATCCCAAGTCAAGAAAGAAAAAAAATCACAGTAAATTCAAAGAGAAGACATCAAATAAATTAATGAAATAAAAAACAAACATACAGTAAAGGACTGACAAAGGCAAAAGCCAGCTCTTTGAAAAGATTAATAAAATTAATTCACCCCATCTAGCAAGACTGATGAAGAAAAACAGCAAAAGTATAAATAATTAATATTAGAAATGGAAAAAGTGATAGCACCACAGATCCAACAAGCATTAAAAAGATAAGAGGATATTATGAAAAACTCTATGTCAACAGATTTGAAAATAGATGAAGTGGACAATTTCCTAGAAAACAACTTATCAAAATTGACATAAGAATAAACAGAAAATCAAAATGCTCCTATATCTAATAAAGGAATTGAATCCATAATTTAAAACTTTCCTACAATGAAAACTCCAGAATTGAATGGCTTCACTGGTGCATTCTACTAATCATTTAAGCAAAAAATAAGACCAAGCTTACATAAACTCTTCCAGGGAACAGAAAAAGAGGCAACACTTCCCGACTCGTTTTATAAGGCCAGCATCATCTTGATACCAACACCTGACAAGAACATTGCAAGAAAGGAAAATTACAGGCCAAACTCTCATGAACACAGATGTAAAAATCCCAATAAAATACTAGCAGATCATATCCAGTACATATAAAAAAGAATATATTACAATCAAAGTAGGATTATTGCAGGAATACAGAGTGGTTTAGCATTCAGAAAAGCGATTAATGCATTTCACTGCATTAACAAAATAAGGAGAAAAATCATGAGAATCATAAGGCAGACAAGGCATTTGATAGAAATTCAATTATCCATT